TAGGACAATTGCCATTCTATGAGTCTGCTATGTATCCCACTTCCCATGTTGGATCGTTCTCTCCCTTTTTGATTCTATCAGTTAGTATTAGCAGACACTAGTCTTGTTTATGTGATCCCTTTGACTCTTAGACCTATCATTATGGTCTATTGTGACATGAAATTGATCACTGGGACTAGTGAGATGGCATTGGTACATGCCACCTTGATGGGATTGTATTGGAATCCCCTGGCACATTTCTAACTCCACCACTTGGGGCAAGTCAGCTTGAGCATGTCCCAAATTGTACATCCCTTCCTCTCTTATTCCCACTCTTTATATTTAACAGAGATCACTTTTCAGTTAAAATGTAAACACCTAAGAATAATTGTGTGTTAATTACAGAGTTCAACCAATAGTACTAGAACAAAAAAAATACTAAAATGGATAAAGTATTACATTGTACGTCAACAGTCAGGACAAGAGCTGATCAAGTCACTGTTTCTCATAGTGTCCATTTCACTTCAACAGGTTTCCCTTTTGGTGCTCAGTTAGTTGTCGCCGATCAGGGAGAACATATGATATTTGTCCCTTTGGGACTGGCTTATTTCACTCAGCATAATGTTTTCCAGATTCCTCCATCTTGTTGCAAATGACCGGATTTCATTGTTTTTGACTGCTGTATAGTATTCTATAGAGTACATGTCCCATAATTTCTTTATCCAGTCTACTGTTGATGGGCATTTGGGTTGGTTCCAGGTCTTAGCTATTGTGAATTGAGCTGCAATAAACATTAAGGTGCAGACAGCTTTTTTGTTTGCCAATTTCATTTCCTTTGGGTAAATTCCAAGGAGTGGGATGGCTGGGTTGTATGGTAGGGTTATATTTAGGTTTCTGAGGAATCTCCAGACTGACTTCCATAGTGGCTTTACCAGTTTGCATTCCCACCAACAGTGGGTTAGTGTCCCTTTTTTCCCCACATCCTCGCCAGCATCTGTTGTTGGTAGATTTCTGAATGTGAGCCATTCTAACCGGGGTGAGGTGAAACCTCATTGTGGTTTTGATTTGCATTTCCCTGATTGCTAGTGATCTTGAACATTTTTTCCTGTGTCTGTTGGCCATTTGGATTTCCTCTTTTGAAAAATGTCTATTGAGGTCCTTGGCCCATCTCTTAAGTGGGTTGTTTGTTTTGATGTTGTGGAGTTTCTTGATTTCTTTGTAGATTCTGGTTATCAACTCTTTATCTGTTGCATAGTTTGCAAATATTTTTTCCCATTCTGTTGGTTGTCTCTTCACTCTCCTGACTGCTTCTTTTGAAGTACAAAAACTTCTCAATTTGATGCAATCCCAAATGTTAATTTTGGCTTTGACTGCCTGTGCTTCTGGGGTATTTTCCAAGAAGTCTTTGCCAGTACCTATATCTTGCAGGGTTTTTCCAATGCTCTCTAATAATCTGATGATGTCGGGTCATAGATTTAAGTCTTTAATGCACGTTGTGTGAATTTTTGTGTAAGGTGAAAGGTAGGGGTCTTGCTTCATGATTCTGTACGTGGAAATCCAATTTTCCCAGCACCATTTATTGAATAGACTGTCCTTACTCCAGGGATTTTCAATTGGATTTAAACACCTAAGAATATTTCTGTGTTAATTAAAGAGTTCAACCACTGGTATTAAGTAAAACAAGAAAATACTAGAAAGAATACAATAGTAAGCTGTTCCTCAACAGGACAAGGGCTGATCAAGTCACTGTTTCTCATAGTGTCCATTTCACTTCAACAGGTTTCCCTTTTGGTGCTCGGTTAGTTGTCACCAATCAGGGAGAACGTATGACATTTGTACCTTTGGGAATGGCTTATTTCACTCAGCATGATGATTTCCAGATTCCTCCATTTTGTTCCAAATGACTGGATTTCATTTTTTTTTTACTGCTGTGTAGTATTCCATAGAGTACATATCCTGGAATTTCTTTATCCAATCTTCCCCCCAACATTTCTTAACCATTGTATCAAACTCCCACCATCTGGGTCAGAATTTCTTAAAAAGACCTAGGCTAAGTCCAACAAATCAACTTTTGATTGTCATGGACAGTAAAGTTTGAGCATCTAGAGTGGGTGACCCAGGGTGGGGTTCTGTTGTGAGAAGAGAGGTGTAGCTTCGATAGCACTGAGTCCTTCAGTCCTTGCATTTCCCTGCTATGTTTCTTAGGAAGATGACATAAACACCCAAAGTTCTATGGCTGACTGTGGCTGAAATTCACATGGAGTGGAAAGGGCTTTTGCTGATTACCTGAAACAAGAATGAGGGGCTGCTAGGGCCTAGGCAGAATAGCTGTGGGGTGTGTGAATTCACCCAGAAGCAAGCAGAATGGAGGTTATGAGATGGGAATGCAGAACATATTGGGTTTATCTGTCTGAAATGGGGCCTCACACAGTGGGTGCAACCAGGCTTGGGCCATAATCCTGAAAGACACAATCCTGAATGCTTAAATCCTGAAAGCTCAAAAGTCATGAAAATCTCAAATTTCTAAAATCTTTAGAGATATTTTATTTATTTGAAAGACAAAATTAGAGAGATTTTGCATCTGCTGGTTCACTCCCCAAATGGCTGCAATGGCCAGGGCTGGGCCAAGCTGAAGCCAGGAGCTTCCTCCAGGTCTCCACGTGTGTGCAGGGGCCCAAGGACTTGGGCTATCTTCTGCTTTTCCCAGGTACATTAGTAGGGGGCTTGGATCAGAGGTGGAACATCCAGGATTCAAACTGGTGCCCAATATGGGATGCTGGTGTTACAGGTGGCAGGTTCACCCAGTATACCACAATGCTGGCCCCATTCCTGAAGTCTTGAAATATCAAAGTGCCACAAATATAATTTAAAAATTCTTTAAAAGACATTTATTTACATTTTAAATAGGTGATTTAGTTAGGAAACATAAAAACATAATATTTCATAGGCAATGTTGCCATATAAAATAAGTAATAATTATATGTTTTAATGAGCATAAATGCTCAGGTACACTAATGATGGTGTTTTTGTTGTAAGCAGATGAACCATATTCTTAAAAAAGTCAAAAAAAATTTACAAATGAATATCCCTGTGGTTGGTGATTGTGTGAACCCAGCTTTAAAACTGTGGTCATCTGAAATATGCACAACATAAATCTTTTGTTGAAACTGATCAAAAACCAAGATGGAGGAGGGCAGGGTGGCAGTAGGCTGTGTTGTAGCACAGCAGGTTAAGATGGAGCTTACAATGCCAGCATCCTGTATCAGAGCCATTGGAGTGCTAGCGGTTCTGCTTCCGATCCAGCTCCTTGATAATATGCTTAAAAAGCGGTGGAAGATGGCCCAGGTGCTTGGGTCCCTGGGAGTGCCAGATGGAGTGCCTGGCTTCAGCCTGGCCCAACCCTAGCTGTTGCTCCCACGGTTTATGGACTGAACCAGCAGGTGGAAGATCTTTGTCTTTCTCTCCCCTTTTTTCTGTCATTCTGTCTTTCAAATAACTAAATAATTTTTTTGAAAAAACAAGGAAAGAACCACCGTGGACACTGGCTCATATGCAATCCCCCAAGGAGCCAATATCTAGAGAAGTTTAACTCCCCAAGTCCAGATACACAAATAGGACACATCTTCATTTACTATTTAAATATTTTGATTCATGTGCACAATGCTTATACACGAGTCAATGTTGTGATAAAACAGGTTCGCGGGCTCAGGTTTGCAAAAGATGCATGAAATGGATTAGAACTCCCTGAAGTCTTTACACAGTGTGTACCTCTTCATGTGAAGATGTAATACATGGTGCATTGTGAAAAATAATGCTGACAGTTTAAAGCAGTGGGCATAATAAACCTAAAAACGGAAACAAAAGCCTAAGAGGAAGCCGAACATTTGAAAAAGTAGGTTAAGGGATGGATTATGGGCAATTGCATGAGGCAGTCCGTAAGAGTCGGCTGGAGATGGGTCTTTGGCCCAGCGACTCACACACCTGTGTTCCACATTGGCATGTTGATGCCTCCCCTTCCAATCTAACTTCCTGCTAGTGTGTACCCTGGGAGGTGCAGGTGATGGCCTAGGTACTTGGGACCCTGCCACCCACATGGGAGACTTAAATTGAGTTCCAGGTTTCTGACTTTTGGTCTGGCACAGCCCCAGCTGTTGCAGGCAGTTTGGGAGAGTGAACCAGCAGATGGGAGATCTCTCTCTCTTCCTGTTCCTCTGCCCTGAAAATAAATAAAAATTTCAAAAAAGTTGGCCAAGTTTCACAATCGTTAATTATTTTGGAGTTATACTTTGTGATGATTCACACTTTTTCTCTGTTTGGGTGTGGAGGCTCTACTTGGAAAACAGTCACCTCCATTTGTTCACGGGGAGGATCTACCCATTCTAATTGGATCTCAGGCCGATATGCTCTGGAAGCACCCTCACAGACACACCCCAAATAATGCTTTCCAGGGCTCTGGGCTTTAGTTCTGCCTAACATGGTACAACAATCCTGCTTAGAGCTGAAAATGCACTAATACTTCCCCTGGAATTTGGCTTTCTGCGTCTCTTCTGTAGCTTTGTTTTGGTTTGGAATTTTAGCTTTTGAGATTTTGGCTTTCAGGATTTCAATATTCAGATTTTAATCTTTCAGCATTGTGATTTTCAAGGGTTTTAGATTTCAGGGATTGGGATCTTTTGGGATTATGATGGGCACCAGGTGGAACCAGACTCCACTGTGTCAGAACCCTTCACATGTTCAAGGGGAGAGTTTGGGACCCCCGTGGAAGCTGACCTGATGCAGTAGCCTTGTTTCCAAAGAGGGAACTTGGGTTTAAGAACAGTTTCCTGGTAGCAGTCACCTGCAGTCTTTGTAGTAGGGAGCTGTTCCTTTCAATCCATATTTGGGACCATTCCTAAATTTTGGCCAGTCCACAATTTCATGAAAGGCACAATCCAGGTTATTCTGATAATTACTGAATCCTGTGCATTCTTTTCAAATGCTGCCTTTGAGATAACTCTGTGTTCCTGTTTCATTTCTTCCAGGTGACTCCTAACAGCGCGATGAGGTAAGGAAGGAGACAATGCCTAGGTGTGCTCAGCAAAATATGCAGGAACAGGACAGGGCTCCCGCCTGGCCAGGTGGGGCTGGGGGCTGACAGGGGTACCTGGTGAGCAGGAGGCTGACGTTTTCATTGCCATGCTGTGCTCTACTCCCCACAAGTTTATAGACCTCCCCTGACCCAGGAATAAGAGCTGGTTCAATTTCTCAGTCTGATAATCTAGATTTTAAAACTCTTAAGTCTGTACTAAGGCGTAATGCCCTGTCTTTTAGCTGGTTGTGCTTAGAATAAATGTCACCTATGCCCAGTTAATTTTCTAAGAAGCTTATTTCTAAGGGTTTTGATCTGAAAGGCCCATAATAATATACAGTTCCTTCTGCTTGAAAAAGCTATTTTAGGCTTTAGAAGAATATTCTTTTTATTGTTATATTGGAAAAATCCATTAAGTGTTTATTGATCTGATGGCTGCCTTAGAAGCAGATTAAAATGGACCTTGTAATATTGAACTTTTAACTAGAATGTAGGCAACACTATATAATTCCTTTATAATTGGGAAATTAGCCTCAGTGCTCTTTTTTGTTGTTGTTGTTTGGTTGTAAATGGAGCCTCTACATCACAACATTTAACATCTAATTCATTTTCTTGAAGGGAATTTATTCTTTGCTAGAGACACTGCTAACAAATGTTGTTCTACTTCCTGTCATATTTGTACTGGTTATAATAATTGTTCAATAAGTAATTAACATGCTGACATAACAAAGATTATGAATCAGATCACTGTGCATGTGGTTCAATGTCTGAGTTCTCCCCTCTGAACTATTGTACATCTGATCCTTTTCTGTTAAAACAGCAACACCTAGTCCTTTTCTAAACAAATGATTGAGAACCTGCTTATGAACTTCTCTGGAGTGTAACTGTATCAACTTCTTAAACTGGATAATTTCTCAGAAACAAAACATTTGTGTGCAACCCTGTTAAGTTAGCAGAGCAGACTCAGGGCACCAATGGCTTGATGTTATACCTAGGACACTATAAATACAAACAGAAGATAAAAGACCTTGTTACAATGCTCTTTCAAACTCTTCAGATAACAGGAAGGTTGGTCAATATGCAAAAGCCACAATATTGCATTATCCTTCGATTTTGGTTTCACTTGCTTATTGATACTAACCTTTAAGCCGGATGGAGAAAGTGAATTTCCTAATGAGTGGTATGAAATATTTATAAAAGCTAAATTATAATACAAGTTTTGGTCATAAGCCAAATAGCTGAAGCGTATCATGTCTCTGCTTTAAAGAAATACATCTAGATTTATGCACATAGGGTATTCATTGCTGGATATTAATAAATGAAGACTTGGCCGTTGACCGAGATTTTATTTCCAAAATGATTCATTCGAGCTCTGCTGCTGCGCTGCTGGCTGCCTCCTATCAGAGGGGTCTGGAATGTTAACTTTCCTGTTCTGGAGCACACGCATGGCTGTGGATGTCCAGCATAGGTGCATACTACATCTCAAATATAAATCAACATGCACAGTTGTATGGCTCTTGATGAAATAGTTATTTTACACATAGTAGTTAATATTTACTCTGCGTTAGTGTTTGCGAATCGCTATAGCACTGAGTTTTCTTGTTATCTTAAGTCTGTGAAGTTAGTTTATTTTCCTTTTATGGAACGGGACATTTAAGCTCTGAGTAGTCAGGTGTTTTCCAAAATTCTCACTCCCAGGAAAGGGCAAAGTTTGGCATATGAACTCTGGCTAAGGCCAAGGTCAGCTCTACTCTGTCACAGTGCAGTATCTTTATCCATAGTTGTGGTTGGTCCCTTTGGTTTGTGACATCTTTATGCAAAGAATGTTAGTATCTACATTAGTTTTATTTCATCCTATGATGGAATTGTGTCTTAGTGGTACAACTGTGAGATTACCAGAATGCATGCCAGAATGGCAGAATCATAATTTTAGGTCACATACAGAGTCCATTTCTATAATATTTTGTATGTCTTTTATATCAGTGTCTCCAGGTTTCCATGATTTAGGCAATTCCTATACTTATACTATTGCAGATTTTGAAGCAGGTTTTTTTTTTTTTTTTTAAATTTATCTATTTGAAAGTTGAAGTTACACAGAGAGAGGAAGAGAGAGATCGATCGATCAATCGATTGATCGATCTTTCATCCATTGGTTCACTGCCCAGATGGCCACAATGGCCGGGGCTGGGCCAGGTGATGCCAGGAGCCAGGAACTTCTTCCAGGTCTCCCAGGTAGGTGCAAGGGGCTCCAGGACTTGGGCTATCTTCTGTTGCTTTCCTAGGCACAATAGCAGGGAGCCAGGTTAGAAGTGGAGCAGCCTGGTCTCAAACTGGCTTCCATATGGCATGCTGGCGTCACAGATGATGGCTTTACCTGCAGTGCCACAATGCCAGCCCCTACGAAAGTCTTAAACAGCAACCTAATAAGATCATGAAGTGAAAAGTGGTTTATTTTCCATTTCAGTATTAACTTCTTAAAAATGTTTTTATTTATTTGAAAGGCAGAACCACACACACAGCCAGAATGCAAGAGCAAGCAAGTGCAAGCATTTTATCTGCTGGTTCACTTCCCAACTGCCCACAAAGGCCAGGAGCCAAGAACTCATGGGTCTCCCTTGTGGTATTAGGGATCCAAGTACTTGAGCCATCACTTGCTGCCTCCTAGGGTGTGCATTTGTTTTTTAAAATTTTATTTACTTATTTAAAAGTCAAGAATTACAGAGAGGGAGAGACAGAGAATCTTCCATCCACTGGTTCACTCCCCAGATGGCCACAAAGGCCAGGACTGGGCCAGGCTGTAGCCAGGAACTGCTTCTGGGGTCTCCGACATGGATGCAGGGGCCCAAGCATTTGGGTGATCCTATGTTGCTTTTCCAGGTGTGTTAGTAGGGAGCCGGATTGGAAGTGGAACTGCCAGGACTCCAACTGTCACTGGAATAGGCTAAATTTCTGACTTCCTACCTAACACAACCAGTGCCCATATGGGATACTGGCTCTGTAGACAGTGGCTTAACTCACTGCACAACAGAACTGCCCTCTCAGAGTGTGCACTAACAGGAAGCTGGATTGGAAGTAGAACTGGGACTCTCCAATATGGGATGCAGGTGTCCCAAGTGGCATTTTAAGTGCTGTGTCACACACCTGTCCTCCAATATTGCCTTTTAATAATGTGTTAATTGAGGGATTTATTTGTGTGAACAAAACAAGGTAATACTCTAGTTAACTAAATGAAGGAACTACATCAGTGTTGTAGAACCCCCAAACCTGGGTCTACTTGTCCCACACAAAGCAAGCCAACTGCTGACACAAGGGTAATGGAAGAAAAGTAGGAGTTTGTTTTGCAATGCAATGAGTCAGGCAGCTATCTGTCAACTCCCAGACTCCCTGAGGGACTAAGCATTGTAAATCTTATAGCTGCAAGTTGGGGTTGAGCAGTACATGATCAGTTTGAGTGTGGGTTCTCTGGTTGGTCCACAGTGCTCATGGCTGCCTTTTGATTGGTCAGTGGCCAGCACGTTCTTCTGAAAAGGCTGTGATGGGGTCCAGGAGCACTGTGCTTGATCAGGGCTTGGGGTTGCTGTGAAGCCTCTCAAAATGGAGTCTGGCATTAGGATGTTAACTACAGAGATGACCCCTGAATTCTGATTCTTGTGGTTTGGGGTCTGGTAGGGCCAGCCTGACCCCTGCACCACTCGTTTAATTTCATGATTTAGTCTTTGGTAAGGAATTGACTTGTAGTCATCACAGTAGAGACAGAGGAACTGCACGCTAATGAAGAGAAAGTCTACATCAAAGGCATTAGGGATGGGGCTTGCTTTCATTAATATCTGCTCATAACATTAGTTTCAAATATCTGTTCTTCAGAAGATAAAGTCAAAACAATATTGTAGAATAATCTCACTTAAAGACAAACTGGAAATAAGGATATATATTTCTGCAAATTGTGTTTCCTTACATACTACATGGTCAAAAGTGACTATTCCCATGCTTGAGGCCTGGGAAGGGGCCTTTTACATTCAGAGTTGGAAAATGTCATGGAAAGGAACCTAGTTCTTTGGGTGGAATTCTATAAGCACAGTAACCCTTATACAAATTATTTTTATATATTTATTCAGTAAAGAAAATTGTTTCACATATCAGATTTTAAAATGCATTGAGTTTATTCTACAACACAAGCAACATAAATACAATATCTTTTAAAATCTCTTCTCTTTAGAATGTTCATTTTTCACCTCAGATAAAATGTACACAAAATACACTCGCAAGCTTGCTTACAGAGACCTGCTGAACAGTGAACAAGAGACACTCTATCAAGTCAGTTATAGCAACATACAAAGTGGGGTGGTTTTCTGTTTGTTTCTCTAAATGAATGCAGCAAAACTGATGATAGAAAAATGCAAACTCAAAGTTACAGTTTTTTGACAAGGCCTTTGGAGTCAACAAGTGCCTCAAGGCTCCTGGTGAATGAGGTGGCAAGGATGAATGTCGCATTTTACAGGTAAAATGGTATGCTGACTCAACTCATTATGGCTATACCAAGCTTCATTTCTTCATACTTTTCAGTGAAAATAGTTGATTCTTTGGCATAATACAAGAAGGAATAAAAGAACCCACACCACCATTGGCTTTCAATCTTGACTGAGAAGTGGTAGCAGGGAAACTGCTCATAATGTAATTTATTTGAGTATATTCCATCTAGAAAAGCAGTGAACGCATCTGGAATGTAGTCTTTTGGCATGATTAGGGTAATAAATATCTTATTTTTAGCTCTCCCCTCCCCATCCCCAACACAAACAAGCCAAGAAACAAAAATAACCATTCCCTCTAGGCACCTGCCCCGTCATGCCATACCTGGATATTCTACCATATGGTTGCAAGTGAAACAAAATCAGAAATATCAGAAGCATTCATCTTTGTCTAGTTTTGCCTGTTCAGTGGGAAACCCATTTTTCTTTGACAGATGTCTTTCCCACAAGATCCCAATGATAGAACTGCAGAGGGAGTAATAGAGTAGCTTGCCCAGAATGGTGAGGTAGCCATGGCTGATAACTGGTGGTGGTAGTGTCAGGGGCATGAGCCTCCTGCACTTCAAGAGAAAACAGAATATCTTATGTGTTAGCTCAAAAGGTTGGCTTTTAGATTATCCTCTACCTCGTTTTGGCACTGGTTGGTAAAACAAATTGAAAATAAATTATCCCTAGAGATGGATTTTAAAACTTTCATTTAAAAATCAGTTATTAAAATAGCTGAATACACACATAATTGTCAAAAATGATTATGGAAAACAAAAATGAAATAAATTCTTCAATTATTTCCATCCAGAGGCAAGGGCCTGAATCCTTGCTCCCATTAATACTTTGAAGTGCTTTCAGATCTCACTAAATCTAGTAAATAGAATTTCTATTCATATGATAGTCTACATTAATTTAAATGATGTCAAGATATTTATTAAGCAGAAGTCTTTAGAGAAACTTTATTGAATAAGAATTATGTGTAATTAATATAGTTTATATTAATGGGGATGACGTTAAAGTACTTCATATATTTTTTTCTTGACACATTCCCTCTATGGTCCTTTTTTTAATGGAAAGAATTTCTAAAGCTAAATGTGTAAATAGTTAATATATAAATTAAAGCCCTATTTATATTTGAGTGAACGTGATTTTACTGTTTTCCCAAAACATACTGAGTCACTGTGATATTTTTCTCATCATTTGGAAGATGAGCTAATGAATGTGATCTCCATTGTGGGTATCTGGGCAAAAACAACATATTTACTGAAAAGCCAAGACAGGCACACCTGCTCAAAAGCGAGTTAGTTCATTCTACAAATTTCTATGAAGCCACTTGGTAGATGTACAAGAAATTAAAACACTAATTTACACCAGACCTACAAGTGAAAAATGAAGATTCAGAAAGACGATTCAGATTTTCCTGAAATGCTTAGTTTTGGTGATCACTGAGAGATGTGAAACAACTGGCAAGTGAGCAACTACTCAGAAAACTCTCTAAGCCAGGAGCCAAGTCTGTCATGAAGCCAACATGGAAACAGCTCATTAAAACTGCATGGACAGAAGAAATTCAAACACAACATACTGAAATAGAAAATCACATTCAGTACAAGTCAAAGGGTCAACAGGATACAAACGATCATCCATAGAATCAAAGTTTCTAAATACAAAGACGAGAGGCTTAGATTAATCTCACAATTTCATATAATTTATACATTCATTGTCTTCTAGCTTGTAAAAATTAATTGTTGGTATAATAAAACTGAGACTGGGGGGGAATTAAGCAGGAATGCTGAAGGGAAACCAGTCCCAAATTGTCTGCCCGAGGGTCAGTTCTGTTTTTCTCTAGAGCTTCATAAGTCAGGCTGATCTTAAAATAGCAGTTGGAAAATTTTTCAAGGCAGCGGTCCTCAAAGCGTGGTCCTCAGACCATCAGCATTGGCCTTACCTGAGAATTTGTTAGAAATGCCAATTTCCAGATTGATTTAACTAGAATTAGCATAGGCCCAGCAATTCTTGTTTCAACAAGACCTGCTTGTGATGTTCATGTGCTAAAGGTTGAGATTGACTGTTCTAAACACAAATGATATTATGCAACCACTGGTTAGACCTTCAGGATAGTAACTAGCAATACAAACAATTCTTGGTGGTTGAACAGGATGGAAAGGTCTTAGTTGGATGGAACTCACCAGCAGTTGAGTGAACTTTTGTCACTGAGATGATAAGCCAGTCTCTCCTCTCAGGAAGTCCTTTACCTTTGTACACAAAGGGAAAAGGTTCTGTATGATGCTTGTGGTGTGGTCATGGTTTTTCTTCAATTAATAAGTGATGCCATCATTTATAAGGAAATCTGAGCATTGTTCTCAACTGGGTTTCTGCTTGACAGCCTCAGGGGCTGGTTTTTTTTTTTTTTTTTTTTTTTTTTTTTTTTTTTTTTGCCGTGTTCCCTGAAATAATTGTTTTGGAAATCTAAATGGTGTTCTATTCCAAAACCTTAATAAAGTTATTATTTTCACATCAAATGCAAACACTACAGCACAGCCAGAGGAAGGGGCTTTCCCAAACCAACCAACCAAAGTATGTTTTCTAGATTGCTCCACTAGTAAACAAGGAGAATACTCCCCCCCCCCCAAAGGCATAAATAGTTATTTACCAATTCTATAAGGCTCTCCCAATAACAAACTTCTATTTCCAATAAAAAGTACTCAATGTTCTTTTGTATTGTAAGGCCACACTAAATTTCACTGGGATCACCTAGATGCTACCTAAGCATATTCATGTTTTGTTACCCGCTTCCTGCAGGACTCCGGCTTCTCTTCTACCTGTTGCATTGTCTACCAGTAGAACCACTCAGGTGTTAGGGTATGTGGTTGCTATGGGTATTCACCAGATGCCCTCAGTACCTGGATCTTTAAATAATCTTGTTCAACCCATTGCTTCCTCTTCAGAGAATATATTTTGAAAAGTGGTTATCATTTGCTTTGCATATTCCCAAACTTGGATAATGACCTACACATATAGAGCTGTGTCCTTCCCAGAGAAGCAAGTAAAGAGGCACTGTTGGCTCCAGGGCACTTTATTCGGAATTGATTAAATGGTATTGGAAAAAGGTTTGCAAGTCATGTGTGCCATTCTAGACACAGGCTGCTGCTTTTCTGAATTAGTAACTAGCCATGAACAATGTCGTTCTACCATTTCCACCTAACTTGGTGAAATTTTCAGAGTAACATGGAATGTCCTTTAAGATTAAATTTTAGATTGGTTTCCTTTATTTTCAACTTTTAAAATGTATTATACACATATATGGTCTTTCTACATATAAATGCTTTTTAAAATTTATTTTACAAAATCCTAACATCCAGACAGACCTGGAATGTCAAATATTGCCATTTTAATGGTCTCATTCCTTAAACTGTCTCCCTTTCCTCAATTCCTTTCAAGTATGGTTTCAGAGAGAGAGAGAGAGAGGGAGAGAGTATGGCCTCTGAATTCATGAACACTTTTACTGCAACCAACTTTGCCTTTTACTTGTTGTCTTGGGCAAGTTTATTAACCACTCTGGATCTATGGCCTCATCTTAAAAGATGAGGAAAATAATGCCTGTTTCCCAGGTCACTTTGAGAACTGAACATATTAATATGCAAGTGAAGATCCACATGTTACAACCTCCCTGCTGTTTGTAACCTCTTGCTGTTCTAGACACAGGTCTTTGTTCTGTTCAGTTTGATGGGACTGACACTAATGGATTTCCCATTCTGAGAAAGAAAACCTTCCTTTGTATACACTACTCTAATGTTTGCAGGAAAGCCAGGAGCATCTATTTTATGATGGTATTGTGTTCTTATGGTTGAGGCTATTTGAGTCTTTCAGCTGACCCTGTATGATGAGCCTTCCTAAAACAAGAAGAAAAAGCCTAGAAATCACGATACCAAGAGGTTTTTGTTTCAAGGTCCTTTTGAAATTATATGAACATTTTTGTCATGTTTGATTTAAGGTGTTATCATCTGAGTTGTATGTTAGCATCATAAGTTTGGATTCTTATTGGTCAGTCATTAAAAAGCTCCCAAAAGGTAAAAGATCTAGTTTTGCATCTATGAGGGAGGCTAGAAAATCATAATGAGGGCAGGGAGATAACAAGGTGGTGTGAAAAGGCAGCCTACTCATCTTCAAGGGGTGACCAGGAGATGCAAGATCCTATGAACAGTTTATCTGCTCGCTATCATCAAAACTCATGCCCTTCTTAAGGGCAGAGAATTCTGGCAAAGGGTATGTGCATTTGGCTGGGCCGATCGATCTGGGATTCCCTTATGCTTAAGAGTTTTCCAGATGCTTCTTTCATAAAGCATACTTGATCAAGATACGAGAAAGGAGAGACAAATCCCACCTTTAGGGTGCTACTTCTTTGGCAGTAAAAGCAGGCAACTAAGAGCAATGTGTAAAGTCTTGTTCTGCTTAGATTTGTAGATACCTGCTAAGGATGACTTACAGCTTCAAAAAGCTGCCTGGACCTTGATCTTTCAAGTTGCCCCTAAAATGATTGTGAGAACAATACCTTACATTTTCAGAGACGGTAGAAGGGTGTGATGGAAGAGAAGGGGAGACAGGCAGAAACAAAGGCACCAGGAACAGTTCTGGACTCTGGCCCTGGGAAGGGACCATCTGCCTGCAAAGTATGGCCAAGCACCTCCCTCCCTTCTCCACCTGCTATGAGTCCTACTTGGAAGTCCTCTTCGGTAGAGACTACTTTGCATCAAGCAGAGTGCTTTTTGAAAGCTTCAAATACTCTGGGAAGTCGTTGTGACTTAACTGCTTTGCTGGCTGAAACTTGATGTGAATGCAGACGTCAGGTAGCTCTGGCACACGGAGGTGGCCCCAGTGCGATGTGAGCCACACGCAAGATATGATGGGAAGGTATCCAAGACCTCTTGTGAAACTGTAGGTAGAGAGCTATGTATACTTTCTCCCCTTTTTATTCTCGGGACCCACAATCAGACTAGTCTTAGAACGGTGATTGGACAGAGAGTATGGGGCAAGCTCATTTTCAGGAGCAATCCTTGGGGTCCATGATAAAGACTCTGTGGGAGAGTGAATTCTGTCTAGGCAGTTCTTTCACACACTCCTGGGACGACAGCCCTACATCCAGACTGGTTTCCTCGGACTTTCACATCTTACGAGAAGTGGCTGTGCATAAGCATTGTGGACTTGCTCTCATGGTTGACTTCACTGCAGCTTGGTGTGTGCGGTTCACTGTGAAAGTACTTAGTCTCAGAACAGAACTGAAACTCAGAGCAGCTACAAAAACAAAGAAACCCAACAACCTCAGCTTAGGGCTTCTGTTGGAAAAAAGCATCTACTTGACTTTCAATTCCAAAGTGTAAAAATTCAAAAGTGTAGGACGCAGCTCATTGCTATTCCAGTAATTCGCTGTCTGTCTGGATCAAGTAGTTGATGATATTTCTAAACTTGAATTATTGTTCACTGAGCGGGGACAGAAAATGAAAGCCAAGGGTGTCTTCTGGAATTAAAGTCTCCCAGATCCTGGGGTGCTCTCTAGATGGCATACTGAATAATGACGTTCTTTCTCATTGGTCACCTTTTAATGGCCACATACTTCTCAAGAGGGCAGAGTTGGCAAATTGCATCACTAGATAAAATTCAGTCCCTTTAAAATTCTAACTTCAGTGCTGCAGATTTGATGTTTGTCACTTCACTCACATATCTTTTAATGCCATTTTTTCATGAGCTTCTGGAAGCTTTCCTGTATCTTTAAGGAAAGATATTCCTGTAGTCCATTAGGAATACATTTTTACAGCTGGGAAATTGTGATATGTATGCCTTGACAACCAACTGTATTTGCTAGTATGCATATAAATGGGTTTGGTTGAGGAGTTTCAAATGTTGTTCTAACGTAAGAAATATAAAATATATTGTAAGTAAGATATCATTCCCTCATAACACTAAGGAATAAAATATTACTTAAAATATTGGTCTGAATAAAGACTTCAGACTTAGGCTACATTTACTTTGCTGGAGAGGAGAAATGTTTTAAACATAGGAAAAAATTCATTTTATAAATTTCAGTGTTCTTTTCTCTTTCATTTGAGATTCTAGCTTTGATAACTGACCGTGGCTGTCTATGATTTTAGTATCTCATTTTAAGATTTAAACTGATCTCGTCTTGATTCCCTCTCAGCTGTTTCCATACCCCACTCTTCCTGCCCTTTTCCCTGAGAAATCTGCTCACTGGACGGAGTACTCTGAGTTCCTTTCCTCCAAGGGAGGTTGCAAGAAAATGAGTTGCATTTTAATGTTTTGCTGTCTTGAAAACTAAATGGTGTACCTTATACTCAGATAACCATAGGGCATAGAAATATCTGTGCAACAAAGAACTAAGGCACCATTTTTTCTTTCCTTGCTTGCCTGAGGAGCAGGAGCAAAGATTAACGGGACAGCCAGAGTAGCTGGTCCATCTTCCACCTCTTGACAATTACACTGGGTACTATGTGTCAAATGCTGCCCAGCCATGGACTTCAAACCCTATCAGGAAAGAACTTTCTTCTTTAGGAACAGACAAAGGCACAAAGTACCTTACAGGAGGAAGTTGTGAGTACAACCTGAAAATCTTAACCATTGAGGAATATACATATTTTTGTTGCTGTTTTCTTCCCAGCCAAACCCATAAAAGTAATAAAAATCTCTCTCCACTTTCCAATGTCTGGTACTAGATGTCTGAGTGTTGACAGATCAGGGTAGCCTATCAGCCGATGTCTCCTCAGGAGCTGCATTTATTTTTAAAATGATGGAGCAAGTGGATCAGTGTAGTGCTTTCGAGGTGAGTGAGGGGGAGGGGAGGTCCTTGAAAATGACCTATCTGGGGACAACACTGCAAGCAAAAGCACTGGGAAAGAACAAGATTAGAAATGTATCAAGGAATGTAGACTCTTCTGTAACAATGTGCAGGATCAGAGTGTGGTTTGCATCCGCTGGACACAACCTTAGTACCCAGAGCAGCCCCATGCTGATCAGTTGGGGATTGTCTACCAAGACTCTTAACATTAGGGAACAGTGCTCTCTGAGACACTAGTCTGAGTGGGGCTGGTGGTGCAGAAGATGCTGCCAGGTGGACTTTCAGGCAGATGCTAAGCCTTGCTACTGTCTTTCCTTGGGCACAGAATCCGAGTCTCCTACACGATGATGTCATAGACTCTGCCCACTCTGCCGAGCCACTCTCGGACGGCCTGGCGGACTCTGATGTCAGTCACGTGACACGTCAGCTGGCTGATGCACGGGAACACTGCGGGCTGGAGGGCAGTGAAGGTCTGATCTGGTAGGATCTGAATCTGGTTGAGAACTGTTAGCACCATGTTGGTCCATGCCTAAGAGAAAGGATGCAACAGAATTACTGCTTTCCCCCATACTTCCATCTGAATGCTTGAGGGTGGCTAACTCTGACAGTCTGTAAGGGGGTTTTCTTAGGCTTTAGCTCAATAAATTAGTCTTTTGCTAATTTAATGTACCTGTAACAAACTGTCATTTTAACTTCACATATATAAAGATGGATATTATTTTCAGCTTTCACAATGTATTCCTTAAATTTTTAGGAAACTCATAAGTTTCATTATATGAAGATAAGATACTTCAAATCAGCAGTCTTATAACATGCAGATAACTTGGACTAGGTCTGCCTTAATTTAGGATAACTTTTCTAAAACTGTAAGCAAAAACCTGCAGACCTGGCAAAGCAATTCAGACATATGCTCTGTCAAGGTCATCTGCTGAAGAATAGCATGTATATCAGTTTGGACCACTCCAAATATCTAGTCTAGCATGATTTTTGCAGATTCTGAATTATGAATATTATTTCTTTGTTCAAGATACTTCAAAGGAAAATAAGACAACTTGCAAGATTCATGCTAATTCCAAGTTTATGTTTATTCTAAGAGTATAAGGATTCTTCAGAAAGTTCATAGAAAATATATACTATAAAAAACTATGCATGAATCTCAAATTTTACTTTGCACCCCAATTTATTTGTAATTTCTATAAACTTTTTGAAATGCCATTGCTTTTATTCATAATAATAAAATACATTCCTGTACAGGTTCAGAGAGACCCCATGCCTTCTAAAAAATCTGTGACAAAAATCACATTTTATTTTTAAAGGGCATTCTCTTGGTCTTTTTCTGTCCCATCTCTTCTCAAACTGAACAGAACTGTTTTCTTTGAAACTCACTTTTGTCTGGGCTGTAGGGTTACAGATATTAATTATATGAGGGCACTGGCACCCTCACCGTGTCCTGAAGAGTGAGAGCTTTTATGTGCTCAGGATGGGTTAGAAAGACTGGAGATGAAAGCATTTCATAGCCATTGTCTTTGCTTTGTTCATTTGCTTAACGCTTTATAACAGTTCTCCAGTGCTGTCTCTAAATGCACACAGTGAGGTCTCCATGCCTGTTGGACCCTGTCGCTTTTCTATGCTTTACTTCCATCTTATGAAGCAGGGAGAATCCCAATTCTCAATCATGTGTGTTACAACACAGAATAATGATTTCCCCCTGAAACACCAGTGGGGCAGACAGGGCCTTCTTCCTGCACCAGGCTCCCTGATGTTGGAGCCAAGTCGGTTTCCGCCACACCCTGGAACGCCTTGGTTAAGGGGACCCGCCGGCCCGGACTCACCTGGATCTGGGCCTCGGCGTCTCTCACGGAGATGCTCAGGGAGCTGCCCGTGGAGCCCGAGCGCGGCCTCTTGTCCTGTCGCAGCAGCTCGGGGCCCGCGCTGAACGAGTGCCGCATCTGGCCCTGGTCCACCAAGTGCTGCGGCCGCTGCAGCAGCGGCGAGTCCGGGCCGCGCGGCCCCAGCGCCTCGCCCTTCTTCTCCACTTTGCCCTCTTTGGGGAACGGGGCCAGATTGTGCTGCTGTTTCCGCTTCTTGTACTCCGTCATCAGCTTGGCAATGGTTCTGTCTGCTGCCATGGTGTAGATTTTGTTGCCCGCATTCTCCCACCACTCCTTCTTCCGACTGGGGTCCTTCTTCTCCACTTTGGGGCTGGGGGGCAGCATCAGCCCGTCCCCGCTGCCCGTGCGCCCGCCCAGCGATTCGCCCGCGTGCTCCCGGAGCTGGCTGCGGTCATCCTCGGACGGCGTGTCCTTCCCGGAGAAGCCGCCTGTGGATGGCGTGGATGACTCGGACTGGAAGGAGGGCAGGATGAAGAAGGGGTCGCTCTTGAACACGGGGGGCTCCTCCACGCTGTTCTCCAGGTCCAGGTGCATCTGGATGTAGTGGTTGCACAGCTCCATGCACAGCTTGTGCAGCCTCTTGACCAGCCACACCCAGTCGGCGTTGCTGACCGGCTGCACGCTCAGCGAGGGCATGCGCGCCCTCCACTGGCGCTTCTCCTTGCCCCTGGGCGGGCTCACCTGCGCCGTCTCCTCGAAGATGTCCTCGTCCTCCGACGAGCACTGCTGCGAGGAATCCGAGCTCCGCTCGTCGTCTTCGAAGAGGGCCTTCTTCACCTGCTCGGCCGTGATGGCTTCCTGATTGGTGAGCACGGCGCACACCAGGGCGTGGAAGTAGATGTTAAAGCTCATGGCAGACTGGCGGTAGAGGTTGGCGGCACCCCCGATGCCAGACACCTTCTTCAGCAGGCACTTGAGCCCTGGGCTGGTGTCGAACTCCCGCGCCGTCCGGTAGGAGTCCAGCAGTAGGTCAAAGATGACGGCCAAGTTCTGCATGGAGATGTAGCGGAGGAAGCCAGCCATCTTGGCTTCCGGCGCCTGGACCGTCTTCTCCTCTCCTGGAGAGGGGCCTTTGACAAACTCTTCCAGCAAGATATCGTACAAGTTCTGGAGCAGCACTTGATGTGACAGCAAGCTCACCACGATTTCCCTGAAAGAGACGCTTCGGGTGCAAAAAAGGGGCGCTGTCAGGGGCCTGAGTGCAGCCATGGAGCCGTTATTCCAAAGCTATACAAATGTTACCCGTTTCATTAGGATGGATGTGCAACTCCAAATTCAACTACCGAAAACCCAAAGTGCTCTAAAATCTGAAACTCTTTTGAATGGTCCTCAAAACGTTTTGGATTTTGGAGCATTTCAGGTTTTTGGGTTAGGGATGCTCCGAAGAGTCTGACATCCCCCAGACTCCAAAAGTCTCAACTACTTTTGGTCCCAAGCATTTCAGATAAAGGATGCTCAATTTGTACCTGCATTGAAGTGCTTTCCTTAAAAAAGGGCTGGGTTCCTCCTTCATAGACCTTGAATGGTCCACAGATGTCTGTACTTTTCCTCCTTAGGGTACCACCAGATCAGGTAGCTTTAGAAGTGAATACTTGGGGCTGGTGCTGTGGCTTAAAGCCCTGGCCTGAAGCACTGGCATCTAGTTCTAGCTGCTCCTCTTCTGGTCCAGCTCTCTGCTATGGCCTGGGATAGCAGTAGAAGATGGCCCAAGTTCTTGGGCCCCGTACCCGCGTGGGAGTCCTGGAAGAAGCTCCTGGCTCCAGATCGGCTCAGCTTCAGCCATTTGGTGAGTGAACCAGTGGATGGAAGATCTCTCTCTCTCTACCTCCCACTGTAACTCTTTCAAATAAATAAAAATAAACCTTAAAAAAAAGAGTGCATGTTCAATACTTGGTGATTCAGCTGGCTTTGTTTGGTGCTCTTGTAGTAAGAAAACAATTTCAATTCTAGGTCCTGTTTTTACCAAGTATTATAATTCACCAATGTGGTTTTGTGCTTATAGTTTCATGTTCATTTCATTGCCCTTAGAATTTTGTGGAAACAGCTTGTACCAATATGTTGTTAACTCATTCCTGTAACTGGATAATTATAAAATTATGACAACTCTTATTAACAGTATTGACTTCAAAGGTCTGCCCATTAAGTTAATAATTTTATGCTTTGCTCTATGTCTTGCTATGACCTTGGATTTATAAATTACTTTTATAATTAGGGAAAGTGCTTTTTTACTAGCAGAAGAGAATAAAAATCCTTATCCTTCTATAACTCTAAATGCTGACTTTTCCTCTTGTGCCACCATCATTATCGGAAAACACATCATTCTCCGCACAGATGAAAAGAACACAGGGCAGACAACAAAAACCCTTTTTAGGCTTTATTTATGTCACAGGCAAAATGACAGAGAAAGAGGTTTTCCATCAACTGGTTCACTCCCCAAATGGCGGTAATGGTTGGGGCTGGTCTAGGCCAACTCCAGGAGCCCAGAACTCCATCTGACTCTCCCAAGTAGTTGGGCCATCCTCTGCTACCTTCCCAGGCACCAACAGGGAGCTGGATTGGAAGCGAGCAGCATCCGAGATGGGAGGCCAGCGTCACAGTGGCAGCTTGGCCCTCTGAGCCCCGATGCCAGCCCCAACAGTCCCCTTTTCTAACTGCCCCCCCCGCCTTAAGGTGGCAAAGTATATATAACAGGAAGTTACTCTTGCTACTGTGTTTCAGGGTACAATTCAGTGGTAAGTATGTTCAGTGCTGTAGCCTTCGCCACCCTTTATTTCTCGAACCTGCTCATCATCCCACGCAGAAACTCTATACTCATTAAGCAGTCATTCTTCATCCGCCCTTCCCCTCAGCTCCTATTGAAGACACTTTTTGTTAAGCTACTTAAGGTGCTGGAAGCCTGAATGTGCAAGCTCCTGAAGAGGAGGGCTCCAAAAGCTACCAATTCGGTCCAGCGCGTCCTCTGCATCACCACAGAACCCCACATTAGGAGGGGAGTCCTTCCCTGATCCTCCAAGTCTGTTCCTTGTTCATTGGCTCCTCCATGCTGTCCCCCTCTCAAGGGAAAGGGAAGTCTCTTATCTTCTTGTCCCCAGTGTTTAGGAGAGTGTTCAGTGACATTAGCACTCCTAAATCTCCAAAAGAAGCCAGATAACAAAATCAGACTGGCTCTGAGAGTAGGCCTCCGGAACAGACCTAGGCCTGGAGAAAATGTTCTCCTTAAGAAATGGCTCTGGATCCCCAGAGTAGGAAGTACAACCAGAGGGGAGTTCAATGAGCCTTCTGCAGGTGTAAAATCCTCAGAATGGGGGCTGGCTTTGGGGCCCAGCAGGTTAAGCCACCACATGGGAGGCCTGCATCTCTTGTTGGAGTGCCTTGGATCAAGTCCTGCCTCTGCTTCTGATGCAATTCCTAATAATGTACCTGGGGGGACAGCAGGTAAGACTCAACTGTTTGGGTTTCTGCCACCCATGGCGGAGACCCAGGTGGAGTTCCTGGCTTTTTGCTTCAGCCTGGCCCAGGCCAGCTGTTGTGGGCATTTGATGAACCAGTAGATAGAAGACCTCGCTCTGTCACTCTGCCTTTCAAGTAAAAAAAAAATTAATAAACTTGTTAGCCAACAAGGATATTTTCCATTACCTTTGCAGAGAAATGGAAAGCTCTCTCCCAACAAACACCTAAAGAGAGGGCTCACTGATGCAAAGCCTTGTTTGAACTATGGAGTATCTTTACAAACCAGATCTCCTCTTTGATTCTTCAAGATAAAAAGTTGCTAACTGGGCATCTGAGAAAGGATGTAGTAACAGAAAAACAAAGGGTGAGGGGAAGCAAGACGGAAGACAGCACAGTTTCATAAAGATACAGAGAAAGGCAAGTGTCTATGGTGATACAACTTTTGATCATCCCTGCTGTAAGGAGACAAAGATCTCTGACAAAATCAACAGTTTTCCAGTTTGTTGCACTCACAAGTAGAGGGCTGTAGACTGCGAGCTCACTTCTGAGGCCAGACAGGGTACTGGAGAGCGCACTGCTACACAGGCAGCTGACTTAAATGATGCTAATGTCAGGGTCAGATTAACAGATCTTAAAGCTCTAATTAAGATAATGTGGATTGTGGAAAGCTTGGGGCTATCAGTGTCAAAGCTATTACACACCCCACCCCACCCCACCCCACCCCACCCCTTCACTTAAATGCTGCAATCTGGTTGTAGTTTAGGTGAGTTTTCCCATAGGTGATTTCAAAATGAACCTTTAAGGACGTACCTAACCAGAATATAACAAATTTTGCTGAGAGTCCAATATAAGAATACAAAAACAGAGAATCTCATCTGGCTGTGTGCTCTTAAAGAATGTTAGGGATTGTCTTTTGGCTAAAGAATGTAATATGCTTTTGTCATTTAACTGCAGCAAGTGGGTAATTACCTATTAAAAATAGAAAGTAAATTTGTCAGCCAAGTTTGATGTATTTTTAAATTATAATCTTTATTTGTTTAAAAGATTTTAAAGGTTAATCTATTTCTCTTGCTTTTTATTTCTAACTTAGATTCAGCCTATTCCTTTTTCCCACTTCTACTTTAAAAGTATTTAAGCAAGAATTGGGTGAATGTGAACCAGAACTATAAAAAGGGAAAAGTATATCTTTAAGATGTGAAAGGACTGCACAATCTTTGGCTTATAAACAGATACAAATATAGTTGAAGGAGGCAGGGACAGAATGGGGAGGAGCACAGTGGGTACCCAGAAAGTTCTATTTCTGAAGTTGGGTGGCAGGTCCATAGTTACTGTTTGCTTTCACTATTCACAACCTTTCAACCTTCCACATGTTCTTTTATACAAAACACTTGCCTAAAAAAATTAGTAGCTAGAAATGTCACTCAAATGGTTGAGCTGACTGTTGGACGGACTACCCACAGCCTGGGGAATGACACTGATGTCTTAGCTTGAGCTGCTGCAAATCTGTTGGGGGGCTTACTTGTTGCTGCTCTGGAGCTGGGCGTCAGATCCATGTGCCAGCACCGTCAGGTACCGGTGAGGACTGCCTTCTACTTTCCTTCCAAAGGCCCTACCCCATCATCCCATCCTTCTGGGGGCTAGAATTGCAGCATGACTTAGGAGGGGATGGGGGACACAAGCATTCAGGCCATTGCACCAACTAAACTGCAAATGGCACAGGGCAGGGGTTTGTACACCTGTGCTCTGCTCTGCCAGAGCTAGTTTTGATTTTTGGCTCCACCACGTGGCAGGCATATGTCCAGCCTCTCTGGCTGCATCCTCCTGGATAAAATGTGAGTGGGAGTGGAAACACCTATCCACTGCACCTCACACACAGTGGTCAGATACCTACCATCATTGCTGTCAGTGGCCACAAGTTTAAAACAGTCAGTCATTACCTTCATCTTCAATTCTAGGACAAAATGTCTTAAGATGTTAGTATTTGGAAGTGCAGCTTTCTTGTGGCAACACGCAGGTTTTTTGTTTTGGTTTGTTTTTATGTCTCCTGACAGCTGTCTTATTTGAACCATGCCTCAAATTACAATGACTATTCTTTGAGAGGCAGAAAACAAGGAGAGACAGAGAACTCCCACTCACTGGTTTGCTCCCCAAATGCCTATAAGGGTCAGAGCTGGGCTAGGGCAAAGCCGAGACCCAGGAACCCAGTCTGGATCTCCACATGGGTGGCAGGGCCCCAGACACTTGAGCCGTCACCTGCTGCCTCCCAGGGTGAGCATTAGCAGGGTGTGGAATGAGGGCTCATGGGCAGGCACTCCGATACGGGCTGTGCATTTCCCAAGCAGCTTTCAACCTCTAGGTGAAATGCCTCCACCTGCCTAGGATGTTTTTAAAAAGATAATCATAGGTATGCTGTGAGGGGCTGAGTGGTATCCCCCTTAAACTCATATACTGAAGTCCTAACTCCTAGTACCTCAGCAGTGACTTTATCTGGAGCAAGGATCCAAGTGAGGTCCTTAGGGTGGGCCCTGAAATCCCATATGACTGGTAGCTTGGTCAGAGGAGCAAGTCTGGGCCCAGAAGCGTCCAGGGGGAAAGACCACCGGGAGAAGCGGGTATCCACAAGCCAGGGAGTGAGAGCTCGAAGAAGCCCTGACAGCTTTCTGTCTGCTGAACCCCCCAGCCTCCAGAGCGGTGGGAAAACACATTCTTCATTAGCCACCTGTCTGTGGTACTTGGTTAGGGCAGTCCAAGGAAAGTAGCACATACGAATGTGGGTCACTGGGCTAAAAGGCTAAGTGTTTGTACAAAAACCTTTGCTCAATGGCTCCGCGAAGTTTGCAGTATTCTTGGCCAAGCGGGACCTGGGAACAAGTGGACTTTTCTGGGTTACGATGCCCCATGCATACACGTTCAGCGGCTTACCTTTTCTTGGTGTGTCCGTTTGGCTTCTCATCCGGGGGCAGCTCGATAATGAGCTGGCAGGACTGAGCGTGATCGAAGTTGTTTGGGGTCTTTGGTGAGCACTGGGTGTCCAGCATGAACACCTGCATGGGCACAGAGAGACACAGTTCAGAATGCCACATCCTATACCCGGCTCTGCCCAGCAGGTAGCCGGGTGCCCTGGGCATGGTCTGTACTCTTCCTGCCCTCATGCATTTGAGAAAAGTAAATGGCCTGCGGTAGCTGTGTTACATATGCAGAGCACTGGAACCAAGGAGTAAATAAGAAAAGTTAGCTGTTGACACTAACTTAATAATACCACTACTTCTAGAACCAGACACTTTATTACTCTCCAAATAGCAGGTGCTGACATTTAATATTAATTAAGAGTAAATAAAAAGGGACTGTGTTTGCAAAAGATCATCTCTCATTTTGATATCTGTTTGGTATCCTATTATATCCAATGCAGGGATAAGGAATTAATTAGGAATTCTCCTGCCAGGAATACTGATGTGGCCACACTACTGCAGTGAACTACAGCTCAGGTGACTAAAACTAGTAGCCACTGACCTGATCTCTGAGCCGCATTTCATTTCACACGGCTTAAAATACATTTGGAAATGTCCGACTGTTTTTAAGGAAACCTTTTCTTTCCAAATCTCGTAGGAGTTATCAGCTGATTGAATACTGAGCTATCTTAGGAGTGATTGCAGGAGGAAAGTTTGGGACTGAGGCAGACAAATATTAAAGTGAAAGATTCACCAAACAGTTCCCTGTCGTTCTCAAAGAGGATTGTGTTGGGATGTTCATGTTCTTGCTGACAGGGCCAGAAAGGCTGAGTGCACACGTGTGGCTTCTCTCTCTAGCCAGATGCAAAAGCTCCCTGTCCAGGGCTGCTCTCCCTGTGGGGGACCCCTCACTTGCGGGCTTCCAGCCCCCATAAATGCATTCCTGTTGCAAGTGGCAATTCCTTGCAGGTTCCCAACACTTCTCCCAGCCTGGCTTCTTCAGACTGGCCCTGGGTACTCCCTTTCAGAGCCCCAGACTCCTCCCATCTCAGAGTGGTATGACTGTGCTCCATAGCGGACAGGACAAGCTGCAGGTGGAAGGATCTTGTCCCACTGCTTAGGGACAGCTGGGAGAGCCCTGCAGAAGCCACCCTGGCCAGGAAACATCTCTGCTGACAATGGGAAGGTCATGGAGTTCTTTATGTTGGTAATCTGGGGCTCCCAGATGATTAGTGTGCTAAGGGGAAAATTGATCAAGAATTGAAGCAGATCTTTTAGGGAAATGGAGCCTTTGGACCATACCTTGTACCTCATTTTATTATAATTCAAATCTGATAGCTGATATACTTTGTGCATTTACTATTTTTAAGCACCTATTACACACATATGCACATGCAAAGTAGCTTTTTAGGAAGACACAGTTCCAACATGTCTGCCGCTACTATGAAATGGAGTGCTGGGGGTGTCGTTGGTTGTCTTTCTCTAGCATTGTGAACAGCATGGTTAATGAATGTATGTGAACTCAGGGACTGCACTCAGTTCTAGTGCTGAAGAAAGCACGCAGGCTTCTCAGAGGCAGATGGCTGTGACACCGAGGTGTTCCAGGGACCTTTTGCTTCTTGGTAGTTCAGCGATTCAGCCAGTATGTTGCTCTAGGAATCCCAAGGTAAACATACAGAATACACTTCTCTGTCCTTAGATCCTTACAACCCACACTTGTGACTTCTTGTATGTGTCTCAGTAAGAAAAAGCTACTGGTACATGGTGATTCCTGCACGGGTGAGTACACTCGGTGTTAATGCTCAGCTACATTCAGCTCAAATGATTAAGCCATCTTTGCATGTTAAGCTCTAGGTTCTTTTTGGGAACTATAAGAAAAAAAATTAAATGAGTTTATGATTCCTGCGGAATTCACAGCCTAGCAATAATAACAATATTTAAGCACATAGTTATTAGAAGTCCCAGCAAGTTACAAATAAGGTACAAGGGCTACACAGAAGACCCTAGTGGATGTGGGTGCCCAAGGGATGCACCAAGCAGGAGAGGAGAGAGGAGGGAATGCTGGTGATTGGGCACAGTCAGTCCTGGTAAAGAAGGGTAATAATGAACCATCAGAGCCAGGGGAAATGAAGGGACTTCCAAAAGCTGTGGAAAATGGAATTAAAAATTTGCTTTGATGTAAACATTTTTGAAATGCATACATTGTGCTTTCACAATACACCTATTTGCATGGACATTTTGAAGGATGGCTGTATTCGTCCCTGAGGCAATGAAAGGCAGTTTGGTGGTACAAGACCCCCAGACATGCCTCTGCAGCCCCGAGAGCAGCGCTCCCGCCCTTACCTGCTGGGCCATGGCTCGGATGCGCCAGTACTCAGCCTCGGCGCTCGGGGAGGAGGAGGGGGCGGCCACGCGCACCTGGCAGCCTTCCCCACTGAAGCTCTCCGTGCCGCTGTGGAAGCAGCCCAGCAGGTCCTGGGGAGAGACAGCACACGTTCACGGCAGGCGCCCCGGCCCACGGTGCCCCACCTTGGCTCTGACACTGTCACTGTGCCAGGACCCAAGTTCTGATCGAGCCACTTCGTTCTCAGCCTCTGTGAGACGTCCAGGGAGCTGCGGGGAGGAGGGCCCTGCCCTGGCTCTCTGCTCCCAGCAATTTACCTTCACAGGCTTGAGGGTGGCAGAGAAGGCATCCTGCAGGGCACAGCAGGCGAGCCGCCACATTTCCTCGGTGAACACGGGGCCGGCTGTCACCAGCACGTACCTGCCAAAAGCACCAAGGAAAAAGGCTAGAATCCTTGCATTTGGTGTTGTCACAAATGTAGGTCCTCAGAGACTCACGCATTGGTTTATTCTGTGGTTTCCTTCCAAGTCTGCCTGTGTCATAACACTCTTGCCACTCCCCATCTAGTATCCCATTATTGAAATGCTGTGTCAGCATCCTATTTCCTGAACCACTTTCAGATACAAACAGTAATGGATCCTCAGTACAGACAGGCCAAGGCGGAGACTTGGGCAATGTATGTATATATATATATATATATATATATATATATATATATATATATATATAGTGTGTGTGTGTGTATGTATATTCTGTACTCATTTTTCCATTCTAGCCCCGTTTTCCACCGCTCCTCTACAAATAATGAACATTCAAAACCAAACGCTTCTTGTTGTCCTTAAGACTCTCAGCTCCATGCATTCATGCATTCTGTTCTCCTGTGTGGAGAGTCCTCACCTACCTCCCTTGGAGCCTTGTGATCAAGTCTCAGAGGCAGTGCTTGCTAACCGTCTTACTCCCCCGGCTGCCTATCCTTGCTTGCATTTCACAGTTTCTCATCACTGTTATCATTTTTGCATTGGCTACAAGCTGTTGTAGGGCGGAGACCCTAGTTTATATTGCTTTCTGTAAATCAGAGTCTTTTTTTCTGTTTTTTTTTTTTTTTTTTTTTTGGAGAGAGAGAGAGAGAGGATTGATCTTCCACCTGCTACTTCAGTCCCCAAATGGCTGCAACAGCCTGGGCTGGGCAAGGAGCTTCTTTCAGGTCTCCCACATGAATGCAGGGGCCCAAGTACTTGGGCCATCCATCTTCTGCTGCTCTCCCAGGTGCAATAGCTGGAGCTGGATAGGAAGTAGAGCAGCTGGGACTCCACTTGGCACTGCAGGCAGAGGCTTAGTCCTCTACTCCACAGCACCAGCCCCTGTATAAAATTTTACACAATATTTGCCAACTGAATTGTATAATGAAGAACCACTGTTAGCATACAGCCATGTTTTACTTATAGAAAACAGTCCAGGGGCAGGCACTGTGGGTTAAGCTGGCTCTTGAGACACATGCATCCCCTATCAGAGTGTCTGGGATTGGTCCCACCTCTTTCCAGGTCTGCTTCCTACTAATGCACCTGCGAGGCAGCAGATAATGGTCCAAGAGCTTGGACAACCACCACCCATGCAGGAGACCCAGATGGAGGTCCTGGTTCCTATCTTCATCTTGGCCCAGCCTCAGCTGGGGAGGTGAATCAGCGGATGGAAGATCCCTGTCTCTCCTTCTCTCTTTCACAAAGAAAAAGGAATGGAGGGAGGAAGCAAGGAAGGAAGGAATCGTAAGAAAATAACAATCCAAAAAGGGGGTCACTGCCACAGAAGGTAAGTTAATTTTATACTTTTCATAATCAAAACCCCAGCTTGGTGGAGAGCTAGGGAGCCCCCTTCTCACCTAATGCAGGAGCAGCCCACTCTGGAGATGGTTTCCGTGGGCTTGGCCACGCACGCTACAAGCAACTCAAAGAGGTCCTTCAGCATGGTGTTGATCATGCTCTCGTACCGGATGTCTACGGGAAAAAGTGAACTCCAGTTTGCCGCGGTAGACTGAAATGTCCATGGTGCAAATGAGAAAAGTCTGAGCAATTAACAAATGCATAAATGTCTGGGTGAAGGAACAATGAGAAAAATGTCAACACCCCCCAGATACCCAGCAAAACCACAACTCTCCTCTTGGATTTTTACCCAATTTCAGCTTGTTCCATCCATCTCTAGATATACCAATGTGGTTTACTTTTATGTCTTGATGTGCATTTTCCAGTTAAATATACATTCCATCTAAACCAAACAATTGAAATTCTTTAAAAATGGGAAAATATTCTTCCCCTGCTGCTGATAGCTGAATTTAATGTTTTTGGAAAAGGAAAAAAAAAAAAAACAGTCTTGCTTCAGTCTCCACACTATCCACAGACTAGAGAAAATCAGAATTCCAAAAATCACGTATTCTTCGCCCAATTCAAGGAACACATCTGTTCTTTCCACAAGGTCGTGTGATGTGACAGAATCCTCCAGGGGTCCATGCCATGCAAAGCAATGGTCAGGTCAACACCAAGCCCTTGGGGTACACGTGTTTCCTTTCTCAGTGTTCTCTATGGCAGGGCAAATTGTCTTTGCACAACTGAGTAGAAACACAGGTTGTTTGCTTTGTGGCTCTCCCTTGGGGTCCATGTTCTTTTTGGTGTGTCTGTCTGCTCCCACAAGGGAACCTTTATTCTTACACTTCTATTTATAACCCTGATGGCTTCCACATCTTCCTTCATGAGCAAGGATTTATATTTCACAAGTGAGGCGCCACTGATAATAAAGTGGGCAGATTCCCCCGGTCTCGAGGTCCCTCTCCATCTCAGGACATCAGTCTGTTAACCACCCCACACTTCCACAGAGAGAGAAACTTCTCTGCATCCCTGGTCAGTGAAGCAACTTCTTGGAAATACTTGAAGGCTTTTCTACAGCCTTGTCTCCTCCACTGAAACTCCTCAGATGAAACAGGATGGTAGGACACACCCTTCCTCACTAACAGGCTACAAAGGTATTTCTTCATTTTTCAGTTTGTTGCATCCTTAAACTTGCCTTTCTTCTCTTAATGCACAGACACACTAGACCTGCTTATTAGTTTTTCTAAAGATATAATATTTTTAAATGTTTATTTTTATCTAATTAAGAGGGAGAGAGAGCGACCCATCTTACATTTGCCGGATAACTTCCCAAATGGCCACAACAGCCAGGGAGGGGTCAGGCTGAAGCCTAGAACACCATTCAGGGTCTCCCACACGGGTGACGGGGGCCCAAGCTCTTGAGCCGTCATCTGCTGCTTCCAAAGACACACTATCAGGCAGCTGGATCAGAAGTGGAACAGCCAGGTCTCCACCCAGCACTCTGATCTGGGCTATGGGTGCCTTACATGGCAGCTAACCTGCTGGGCCTCAGTGCCCACCCCACAGATATTAATTTTAACCAGATATGTATTGCGAGTACTTTGGTGATTTCACAGAGGACATACAGGTATAAGTTTTCTCTTTGGTAATATACTATTGAAAGGTTGGCACTGACCTTGTCATTCTATTTTAATCACTCCCCGGGCAAAAATCATGCACCAGTGTTTGCATTAGGTATTTATGAGGCACTTTTAGACAAGGCGGCTGCCTACCAGGGAGACCCACAATGAACCGCACCGGCGCTGTGGCTACCTGAGTGCAGAAAGCTTTGAATGTGTTCTACCACCAGCTCGCAGGACAGACCAATGGCGTGCTTGAAATTAGCAGAGGCCACATCCCAGTAGGAGTGGTCTTTATGGCTACGGCGGAGCCAGAGGGTCATCACAGGAAGGAGGAGGTGGACAACTGCGTAGATTCCAAACCCTGGACCTGGAAAAGAGAAGGCGGCATCAGGATCAGGCCCTCACGTGGCAAGTTCCTTGTCATTGCTTGGCAATGCTGGTCTCTCTCGAAGGATCTCCCCATTCTCTGAGCAAGTGCAGGGCAAAAGAATTTACCAGTGACTGGGGAATATCAAGGGCATTTTTCTATTTTGTTTCTGCCTGATTTTAGTGATGGATTACACGCATATAAAATTTAGGTATTTAATAAAGCTAAACTATCACTAGATTAACTCTGGCCCCCCAGATATAAGCAGATACATTTATGCATATAAGACCAGACCCCTTTAAAATGTAGGAGCATGTGTTTATATAAAAACAGAAATACAGAGCTGTGTTTTTCCAACTTACTTTTATGTAAACTGTGTTCTGTATGTTGGTTAGCAAATTTAGCTGTTCCTCATTTTTACTGTCACATGCTATTTCCATTCTGTGTCACTGCCACAGTGTACTTCTCCATTCTCGAGGGGTAGTTAAGATGTCTGTCATTTTTTGCTTTACAGGCGATGCTATAAAGAAGCTTTGTGCTGCCTTGCAGAAGTGTTGATAGATTTTTTTTTTTGACAGGCAGAGTGGACAGTGAGAGAGACAGAGAGAAAGGTCTTCCTTTGCCGTTGGTTCACCTTCCAATGGCCGCCACGGCCAGCGTGCTGTGTCCAGCGCACCACGCTGATCCGATGGCAGGAGCCAGGTGCTTCTCCTGGTCTCCCGTGGGGTGCAGGGCCCAAGCACTCCCTGGCCACGGCAGAGAGCTGGCCTGGAAGAGGGGCAACCAGGACAGAATCCGGCACCCCAATCGGGACTAGAACCCGGTGTGCCGGCGCTGCAGGTGGAGGAATAGCCTATTGAGCCGCGGTGCTTGCGATAGATTTTTAAAATGTGAATTACAAAAGCAAGTTATCCTCTTTATAATAAATGTGGAACTTACATGAAAATTAAAAGAAGAAAATCCTCACCCAGAGAGATAACCACATTTTGATATTTCCTTTTGGTGTATTTATAAATATGTAAAAGTTCAGAGTTTTGAGGATTCTCTAGTACCTAAACATTAATATAATCCCTGTATTAGTCACATCATTAAATATTGTTCACAAATATTAATTTTAGTGTCTGCAGAATATTTATATGCTTTACCATAATTTATTTAACTATGTCCTATTTAGCTTGCTCATAATTTTTTTGGTATTTGAGCTGTTTTAGCAAACATACATATTTTTGTCTCCATCACTGTTAAATTCTTTGGATGACACATGCCTATGAGTGGAATTATTGGGTTAAATGCTCATCACACATTTCGTAGGAATTAATTTGAAAGCAGAAAATGGTACTGACCAGTGAAACATATGTAGAAATAGTGGCAAACAGTTAATTCTATAAAATACCTTCTTCTTCTTCTTTTTAACATGTAGGAGTAGCTCCAGTATCTTTTCCTGAAAATAAACTTTGCTATGGATTTGGAAACAGTATCATTGAGCAAATCTTCATGAAGATGAACACAGACTTCATTCTTGGAATTAATGGTTTCATTTGGGGTTCTGATTCTTTAAGTAAAAACTAAAATCTCTATTACCTGTATATGCTAGACTTGTTTAATTCAGAACAAGAAATACATTCCTAAGGGCCATTCTTCCCTTATACAATCAGGGGACCGTGGTAGGTGAATACCAAATGTCTGTTTCCAAATCTGGTCCTCTTTGACCTTTACACAATCAGAATGTTGTCATGTTAATACTGCATGTGTCTGTGAGTGACTTATGTGAATGGTCGACCTGGTGAGCCCTACAGTCAGCTCTGGGGCTGAGAACATGTACTGCAAGATCTGGCTAAGGAGGAAGGCTGTGATCATGGACATGGCAAAGCCAGCTGGCTCGCTGAGGACACTGACACCATAGCCTTGGCCCAATTAATGTGGGGATCCCATGCAATTAGCTAATGACCTGGAAGAAATGTAAACAATCCACAGGATATATCTTAAATATTACATATCACAGTCATTTAAAAAATAAAAGGGTACATCAAAAAGTTGGTGGAAAAATGAAATTAGAAGATAAGTTTATTTTGCTGCACCAAATTTTTGAAACCCATGCAGAGTTTTTCATAGTATGCATTTGTCATGAATTTTAAGATTAAGTGAATTTGCTAATTTTTTTGCACCAAAATAAACACATATTTTAATTCCACTTTGCACAAACTTTTTGAAGTATCTGTATATTTACTGAACATCTATTATCTGTGGAGCTTTGTCCCAAGTCTAGCCAACAGTAAAAACGGGTAGACATCCAACAGAAGTACTCTCCTGGGAAAAGTTATGTAACAAGTGTCTCCCAAAGCAGGCACAGAACTATTTACCAGGTGTTTTGGTGACATCTCTCAACAGCTCGAAGAGTAAGTCCAAGGTCGGTGGTTGGTGCTGTCGTGGACAGTTGGACACAGCTGCCGTCAGCTGCTCCAGCAGGATGATCCAGACTTCAATGAGACCTGTTGGCCGCAAAGCACACCCCCATGACATCCAGGTAAACCTAATGCACAGCAATGGTGCTACCCAACTAAACGGCCAGTGTCACCCACTACATGAGCTCTCAGTGTCTCTGAACGTGGGCAGGGTATGGCTCAGATGTTTTGACAAAGCAATGAAACTGCTCACCTTTCTTACTTACTCCCCTTTAATAAAACTGTGATTATGGCATGTAAATTCACTATATTGATGGTGCTGTCAGATTTCTTGGAAGCTGATGATAGCAAAAATCATAGAATATTCTTTCCATTCTATTGCCTTAGTTTATCTTTTTTTTTTTTTTTTAAAACTTACTGTGGTACATATTTATAACAAATAGCCATTTTACACACAGTAATGGTTTAGTGGCGTCGATTACATGCACGATGCTGTGCAAACTATCAGTACTGCTTCCAGACCATTTTTTATTCCCTCAAACAAAAACTCTGTTAATGGTTTCTAAGGAACTTCCCATTTTTCCCTCACCCCAGCCCCGGGCAAGTTACTGTTAATTTTCAGAAAGGATATTGGCATTGTGGTTATGTTCTGTTATCTTTAAACAACCCATACTGAAACATTTACAGATGTTTCAGGTAAATCTATTTTGCTGCAAAACAATTTGAAATCCATGCATAGTTTTTTCAAAATAAATGTTTTCCTTGAACTTCCTGAATACCCCTCCTGAGTGTTTTATATGCTGTTAGTTTTGTATGTCTGAAATTTCCATGCTTGGGCAGGGATTATTTGACTTTGGAAACAAGAATATCACTTCAGAATATCTCAATACTGAGAACTGTTTAATTTTTAATACTAACTTAAAGCTCTTTGTCCTTTTTTCCTGATCTATGTTTCATACATATTTATAACGATGTCTCAATGAATTGATAATGTGGGAAACTCTAGGTGGGTACTCTTTCTAGAAAAAAGAAATTGGTGACTACTTTGCCCCAGTGGAAAGGGGAACACTCACTGTTACATATGCAGCATTTACAACTGTTTAAAAGAACGTATTAGACATAAACAACATTAACTTCTGCTTATAATTATCTAAGCTGGAGGCTGAAATGCTAAGTAAAAATTATTCTTACCTAATCATTAAAATGATACCTCTATTAGGTATCATTAGGTATCTTGCCAGTTTCCATTCCTTTAATTGTTCCCTACAACAGATGTTTATTTTTTCCTATAGTTCTTTCCTGTGACTCATCTGAACTAGTGAGGTTTGACTGTTTATATTCTCTATTGAAAACAAAACCTTCCAGCCACCCCCATAAATGAATTTGTAACAGCAAAATATGTTAAAATTAAAAATGAACTAGAACACATTTAAAAACTTCCCCCTAAAAGTCCATTGGTAAAATTGACGAATTTGAAACCACTTATGCTCACAAGTTAGATCTATTGAAGGGTGTCATTTCCTTCTCTCCTGAGACAGAAGACGGTGGGTACGAGAAGGAGCTAATCCATCTGACAGTTATCTCAAGTACCTGATTAAACTCCGAGCCACACGACATTGCAGGGGAACTAGTTTGAGACAGACTCTAAAATCATTCTTTTCCTGAGCCTTCAGCTTCACCTGTCACAAACTCTCTGTCCAGTAATGGCTTAATTTCCCCAGTCGCTAACCAAAAACTCCTGCAGGAATTATTTATGTAATGACTGTGTTTTCTGAAAAGATATTAAGGACAAGTCCAGCCAATTTATGTACCAGTGCACCAATGCCATGCATTCCAGTTTGCTGAATTCAAAGTTAGAGTACACTGAGAGGAATTTGCAAATCTGCAATGTTTTCAGATAGAAGCATCTGAAAAGGAAGGATTTGGAGGCACTGACTGTAAAAAGGACATGTTTGGAAAGTCATGGCAACTTTAGGTAAACCTGTTTTGATATAAAAAAATAACAAAAATGGGTGTTCCTTTTTTACCAACTATTAGCTATCTACAGTTTAAGCTTCTGGGAATATGAAAATAGCAAATTTCTTGGCTTAGTTCAATTAACTTACCAGTGTCGTCATCAAAATCAGCCAGGACTGATTCAATTCCATCTTCACTGCTTGCTGACTGCTCCTGGAGTCTACGTGGCAAGCTAGCGAGTCGCCCACTAAGGAATATTGGCTTCAAGGGCATTTTGTATATTTTGGCCAATAACTAAAAACAAAAAAACTGCAGTTATCTGTTGGAGGAAGCTACACTCTGGGTGTTAAAGAACAGTAATATTATACACCAGTAATAACTGGGAGACAGGAAACTAGAAACATCCTGGTGTATACAAGTTTTAAGATTGGTATGCTGTGATTCGTATTTAAAAGGTAATTTAGAAGAGCCATTTAGCCCACAAAGCAGATGAAATAGCAATCAATGGCAAAAGTAGCAGGAAATTTTTTGGTATCAAGGTTACATATGAGCTTTATAGATTTTTATACTTTTTGCCTATGGGATGAAATGTTCCATGGGAATCGTTGAGAAGATGCTAGGCAAATGGGCTACCAGGCCCTGATTTCCCATTCTGATGCAACACTCCAGAAACAGGGCCACGAGACACTGGGGACATGGAGGCATTTGTGGGCAGGAGAGAGAGATGAGGGTACCAGAAGGAGAGCTTAGCTTGGTGGTTCCGGTGCCTGCATCCCATGTCCATGTGCCTGGGTTTGACACCCGGCTCCTGACTCCAGCTTCCTGTCACTGACAACTCTGGGAGGCAGCTGTGATGGCTCAGATAACTGGGTTCCTGGCTCCTGGCTTTAGCACCAGCCCAGCCCCAGTCATTGTGGGAATTTGGGCAGGGAAGCAGTGCATGGGAGCTCTCCCTGCCTCTCAAATTAATATTTTTTTAAAGGGAGTGCAGAAGAGTGGCTGGGCTCCTTATTTTTCTTCTACTGCTGAAGTCCAGTCCCCCAGAGGTCACTGGCACCGGGCCAAACTCCCAAGCTTCATGAATTAGAAAACCTGCCTGCTTTGCCCACTCTGGACTATGACAAAGTTCCTGTCCTTGCGGGGCCTGTGGACCACAATCCTTTCACAAATAACAACATTTCCAACGTCCATAGGATAGGAAAAACTCAAGAACTGGTATGACAAAGAGGGAGCAGGGTGTGTGTGGGACGTTGGCAGGGAGCTGCCAAGGAGGTGACACTTCTGATGAGCTGTGGCACATGGGGCCCGCCACACGGAGGTGTAGGGGCGACAGCCCAGGCTGAGGGCGCAGCCCTGTTCCCAGGCAGCCATGAGCATGGTGTTTCTGCGAGGCAGGGGGCAGGTGGCTGGAGTGCCATGAGAGGTGGAAGTGGAGAGGAAGGCAGGGGGTCCTGTCAGGTGGGGCGTGGGGCCACCTGTCCTTTGGATTAACGCCACCATGAGGCAGAGATGGTCCATACAGCCCCAAAGAGGCCTGGGGACACAACCTGAGGAGACAGGAGGAAACCTGCTGAGAGGGGGTGGTCCCTGACACCTGGGAGAAAGGGCTGGAAGGGAGGTGGGTGCCCAGCTTGTCCGGCGTCGGCCACAGGTGAGGTTGATGCCCAGGTGGCAGCTCTGATAGGCGGTCCATGGGCTGCCTTTAACCAGGTCTTGTTGGAACACGTCCTGCCTCTTTTTTCCAGTATCACAAGGCACCCTGGGCACCTCACCTTCCATTTTTCAGTACCATCATGAAGGCGCCCATGACCTCATGACCCTTGCCCCGACAGCCTGATGCTGTCAGAGGCTGTGGTAGATCAGGCGTCGGTGTGCAAGACGTTTCACAGGTCTCCTTGCCACCCCCGGCCCCGCCCCACCCCATGTGCCCATTATTTTCTTCCCTTTGTGGAAAGGGCAGGGACAACCGCAGAGACTCCAGATCTACGTCTCAATCTCCTCTGAGCCAGAGCCGGAAGCGTTGTCTCTTGGGCCTCACCCAAAGGCATCCACACACAGAGGAGGCTTTGAAAAGTTTGTGGGGGACACAGACATGGAATTCAAAGATAATTTCTGTGCCAAAAAAAAAAAAAAACCCTCCTTCCATAAGTTCTTCCTAATTCACATGCGCTGTGCACTTTCTGAAGACCCCTGGCGGCCTGGGGAGCTGCTGGGGGACTCCACACGGGCCTCTCCCCTACCTGTGAGCAGCGCCTCAGGTAATCGAGGGCAGGCAGGCACAGGTCTGTGGATGTGGCTCCTGCTCCCGGGACACAGTCTCCGATCTCCTTACAGTCCACCTCCCCTGCAGGAGTGCGGGACACAGAAACACAAGATGACCCTTGCAACCGAACAGCCACGTACTCACCTGGCCTTCATTCTCCAAATATTTACTACAATCCAGAGAGAGGGGGAACGAGAAGGAAAATGGCCCCAAATGGCACAAGCCCGAGAAGAGCCCTTTCAGTCCTCGCACCCCTGCCCCATGTAGGTATATGTGGCATCTAAGTGGGGCCACCCGGACATGTTCTTTCATTGGCTTATACTGTTTTCTAAGCGCCCTTCTCGCAAAGCAATGGCCATTTGTTTCTTCTTGTTCTACCCTGGTACTTTCCAGGGCTGGACTTTGTGTGTCTGCACTTAGGCACACTGTCATCTGCTCCCCGGAGCCCCGCTGTTGGTGACAGAGGATGATCCCAGAGATGAGTGCTGACCTGGGCTGCAGGGAAGCGCTCAGCCTCTCTTTCTCTGTTTGGAAAAGGACCTCGTTCACTGTCAGTGCGTGTGCGGCACTGAGTACTGATGATACATGAAGGCTCTGGGAAGACTGTGAACATCCAGGGTCTGGGGTCACAGACTGCTTAATTAACATTAAAATGAATCCTGAGTTTTTAGGTGCACATCTGGAGAGGTAACATATCCACAAAAGGATGCCTACATTGTCTACAGGCAAACAATAATGGAGATGTAGGATTTTTCTTCTCATATCATGAACTGTTTCTATACTTTATAAACTCAGTCCACAGCACTGTAATTATTTCTGATCGTCTACAGTTGTAGCAACTAGTATCTCCCCTGTGGTTAGGGAGACAGAATTACTAGACATTAGTTAAAATTCAGAGGCAATGAGGAATGTTTTCCCTTTAAAACAACACAAAAAGATGAACATTGTTTATATTTTAGATTGCAGTTGGTGGTTTCTTTTGATCAAAGGTAGACAGTTCACACTTAAGGATTTGCAGATCCTACTGCCTCCATGACAAATTCTCATCCCTACTGTAAACTTAGCAGGAAATCTGCAGCTGACAAGTGAGCACAGCTCTGTTCCAATGAGACTTGATTCATAAAAACTGTCGGTGGGTCACATCTGGCCCTAAGCCACAGTGTGCCAGTCCTTGCTTTACACATATGTATTTTACACTATAAAAATGCAAGGTCAATGCATGTTGAAATATGCAGGTGAGAAATAAAAATACATTTCCTATGCTGCTGATTACAGTGAGTGTGTGTGTGTATTTACTGTGGCTGCGGTGTGACTCACTGAAGTCCATGAGAATGGCGCCTCCCTGGAGCTGGGTGGGACACAGGCAGCAAGGTTATACAGGGACTCTGACTTTCCCACTGATCTCAAGTCCTGTACACATGAGTTCACCTTATAATGCACAGAAAAAACTAGAAACTGTCTTGTCAATATCCTCCATAGGCACGCTGGTAATTCTGCATTTTCAGTCCCCAGCTTCTTGTTGAGATAAACTCTTTCATTTCCAGCACGTGGCCAGACATCTCTATCCAAATATTTCACATTAGATCAACGTGTCTAAATGTCCAGAGAATTCCTTACTTCCCTCTCTGCTGTGGACTGAATGTTTGTGTCCCCCACTTCCCCAGTTCATGTGTTGAAACCATCCCATATGGGTGCCAGTTCGAGTCCTGGCTGCTCCTCTTCCAATCCAGCTCTCTGCTATGGCCTGGGAAAGCAGTGGAAGATGGCTTAAGTGCTTGGGCCCCTGCATCCACGTGGGAGACCCAGAAGAAGCTCCTGGCTTCAGATCAGCACAGCTGTGGCCACTACGGCCATTTTGGGAGTGGGCCAGCGTATGGAAGACCTCTGTCTCTCCCTCTCACTGTCTGTAACTTTACCTCTCAAATAAATAAATAAAATATTAGAAGCAGCCTAATAAGCAAGGTGATGGTGTGAAAAGGTGAATGAGATCAGTGTCCCCAAGGAGACCCCGAGAGCTGCTCCCCCTCTGCTAGGTGAGCACACGCCAAGAAGGCACCGACTGGGAAGCACACAGAGCCGTCACCAGGTCTGGACTGTGCTGGTGCCTCGACCACAGGCTTCCCAGCCACTAGAACTGTGAACATGAAGTTTCGGGGCTGCTGTGGTTAACTTGCCACTTGGGATGGCCACATCCCATCTCAGAGTCCTGGGCGTGAGGGCCAGCACTGCCTCTGATCCAGCTTCCTGCTAGTGTACACCCTGGGAGGCAGCAGATGATGGATCAAGTACTTGGATCCCTGCCACCCACGTGGAAGATTCAGATTGAGTTCCTGACTCCTGGCTTTAGACTGGCCCAGCACCCAGCTGCTGTGGGCATTTGAGGAGTTAGCTAGTAGATGGAAGATTTCTGTCTCTTTAAAAAAAATGGTAAAGATTTTATTTGTTTGAGAGGTACAGTTACAGAGAGAGAGAGAGGGAGAGAAAGAGGTCTACCATCCGCTGGTGCACTCCCCAGATGGCTGCAATGGCCGGAGCTGTGCCAATTTGAAGCCAGGAGCCAGGAGCTTCTTCCAGGTCACTCACTCAGGTGCAGGGACCCAAGGATTTGGGCTTTCGGCTACTGCTTTCCCAGCCCTTAGCAGGGAGCTGGATCAGAAGTGGAGCAGTCAGGACCCATATGGGATGCCGGAGCCACAATCTTCTATGCCACAGTGCAGGCCCCCTCTTTGCCTTTCAAAGGAATAAACTAAACATTTTCTATTTACCTAGTGTCAGGTATTTTGTTATAGCAGCCAAATGCACTAAGTCTCTCTCCACATCCAACCTGCTCTCCTTTGGGCTATCCTTACTCCGGGTAACACTGGTCCTTGCAAGACACTTGGGGGAACAGGAAATCAGCCTCCTTATCCCCCTTTCTCAGGATCACATGTGAACAATCCCAAACACTGTGTATATCTCACCTCTGCAATACTGTTGGAGCCAAGTTCACCCTCCCCCAAATTGGTCTTTCTTGTCTGGAGACTGTTGTTCCTACCTACAGGGACACAGGCCTACCAGAATTTAGTTTCTAATACTGTGTGGGATCCCACTACTTTTTAGTTAAAAATCTAGGGTAGGGGATTGGATTAAGATGGCGGAGAAGGGCCGGCACCGTGGCTCACTAGGCTAATCCTCTGCCTGCGGTGCCAGCACACCGGGTTCTAGTCCTGGTCGGGGTGCCGGGTTCTGTCCCGGTTGCCCCTCTTCCAGGCCAGCTCTCTGCTGTGGTCCGGGAGTGCAGTGGAGGATGGCCCAGGTCCTTGGGCCCTGCACCCGTATGGGAGACCAGGAGAAGCACCTGGCTCCTGCCTTTGGATCAGCGTGATGCGCTGGCCGCAGCAGCCATTGGAGGGTGAACCAACAGAAAAGGAAGACCTTTCTCTCTGTCTCTCTCTCTCTCACTGTCCACTCTGCCTGTCAAAAAAATAAAATTAAAAAAAAAAAAAAGATGACGGAGAAGGGAGGGAGCTTGCTGCTCCAGTCGAAAGTGGAAAAAGTGCAGTCTCAGGGAAGAGTTAGGGAAGAAACAGCAGAAGAAACTCTATTTAAGTCGGAGGAGCACAGTGGACCTATGTGGAGGGTGAAGATGTGCACAACTTAGGACCCCACCAGCTGAGAACCTCCACATCAGTGTTAGAGAGCAAGGTGAGACCAGACTGCAGTAGCCCAAGCCACTGGTGAAAAAGCTGCAGGAAGAGCATAGAGGGAATCCAGCCTGGAGCCCTGTGGGGGACAGTGTAACCACCAAACTAGAAGAGAACAAAGGCGGGGTGGGGGGCATGTTTTCTCTCTCCCCAGTCATCCTGCAAAGGTGTCCTGTAACAAGCTGACAGAGAGCAGGTGCCATTTTGGAGATACATAACAGCTGCGCTAGCTCATGTCTGCACCCAGCAACTAGCCAAGTGGAGAATCCTGAGCCTGGTGGGGAGACTAGACATGGGAATGGGTGCTCATGACTGTGGGAGGCTTGTGTGCTGGGACTGTGAAAACACTGAGGCTGCATGGGAAGAATCAGCATGTGGCTGGGACTTTGGGCAGTCACTGTGGGAGGCTCCACACAATCAGGGCTCCCTGGTTAACTGGTGAGAGACATTGCTGGGGAATCTGAGCTTACACTGAGGACTGCACAGATCCTTTGTGTGGTCCTTGTGGCAGAGCAGATGAATAATACACTCACTGGGGCTTGTGCCCAGTACTAATCACCTTCGAGGAGAGCAGCTAGCTTAGTCTATGCCAACAGACAAGAAACCCTGGAGCAGTGAAGGGAGCTCCCTGGCCACTCCCACCACACACCTGTAATTATTCCCTGAAAGCAGACACTCCACTAATCTGATCACAGTCCAAATATAAAACCCACCACAGTGAAAAATCAAATATGAAACCAACGAGTGTCCACATAAATGCTGAATAACAAATACACCAATCCAAGGAACAAGAACAAGATAACATGACACCCCCAAAATAACACCACACATCAATACTAGATTGTAAAGATGATGAGACTGAAGAAATGCTAGAAATAGAATTAAAAAAAAATTGATCATAGGATTACTTAGAAGTAATCAGAAGCAGTTGCATGAACTAATTAAATCCATAAATGACATGAAAGAAAATCTCTCCCATGAAACTGAGATCTTAAAGAGAAATCAAAATGAAATCTTGGAAATAAAGAATTCACTAGAACAAATGAAAAATACAGTGGAGAGCCTTAACAACAGAATTGGTGAAGCTGAAGAAAAAATATTTGACTCAGAATACAAAGCACAGGAAATTATACAGTCAGACCAAACACAAGAAGAAATTAGAAAACTAAAAAACACTGTTGGGAATCTACAGGGTACTATCAAACAACTCAACATACAGGTTCTAGGAGTTACTGAAAGTATGGAATGAGAAAAAGGACTAGAAGGTCTTTTTAGTTAAATAATAACAGGAATATATAGGAAGAAACAAGATACCTGTTTGTGTGTCTCTACTATGCTACCTATTCTATTTGATACTATTTACACTCTTTGCTGCTGTAACATATCCCCTGAGAACAAGGAAAACTCTTTTATCTGATACAGAGGGAGATGAGAGAGTGGAATTTTTCCACAACATCAGAAGCAAGGACAGCTTGGCACAATATAGGGAGAACATAGTATATACAGGGTTTGGTACTAATGCAGTTTTAGGCTTCCTCTGGGGGTCCTGGAATACATCCTGTGGATAGGGGTGATCACTGACCACTGTATATCAGAATGGAATGGGAATTCCGCCCGGTAACGAGGTTGTCTAAGATCAGAGTGTGGCCTCCAGGCTCCATCCTGAGACATATTTTGTTTCTGCTCCAAAAATGAGGGCAATGTTAGTGATTACACAGCGTCTTCGTGTCTTTTTTCTTCCTTTGAAAACCAATGATCTGTTATTTAGTGACAATATATAAGAATAATATCAACCTTGCCTTTCCCCTGTTTCCAAGGTTCTCAGGCTCTGGGTCTAAGAGCACTTGACTGCAAAACTCCCCAAACCCTGGGGCTGGCACTGTGGCATAGCATGTAAGGCTGCTGCCTGTGGTGCCGGCATCCCATAGGGGTGCCCCTTCGAGTCCTGGCTGCTCCACGTCCAAGCCAGCTCCCTGCTAATGTGTCTGGGAAATCAGTAGAAGATAGCCCAAGTCCTTAGACCCCTGCAACCACTTGGGAGACCTAGAAGAAGCTCCTGGCTTTGGATCAGCCCAGCTCCGGCTGTTGGAGCCATCTGGGGAGTGAAACAGTGGATGGAAGATCTCTCTTTCTCTCACACACTCTCTAACTCTGCCTTTCAAATCTTAAAAAAAAAAAACAACCTCCCTATGCCCTTAAGTTTCTGCTCAACTTTTGGTTTAACTGATTTTTTCCCTCTTGTTTCACCACAGATAAATCCATGCTGTCTAAAAACCTGCTACAGCAGGTCGTGTTGTCTAGGAAGACCCTACTTTGTAAAACTGCTCCTAAGTTAAGTATAAAATCAGCTGAGCTATCCTGAAATACACAAGGCTTCAAAGAAGAGAGACTTCTATACTTCCAAAATAAACCATCATGTATTTTATAATAAAAAAGGCTGGGGGGGGCACGCTCTTGATTTTTGTGCAAGGGCTGCAAAGTCAAGGTCAGGTGGCTGGCTAACTGTGGGATACTGAAGAAGTCCTACGTGCAATTATTAAAGACAGTATGGAATATTTTAAGATGAAAAAGGAAGTCAGTATAAAGGAATATACAGAAAATATGCTACATACAAGATGTCCTATGCATGCAATGAAAACTACTAACCCTGGACAAAACCCACACTGCGCTCACTGTAAGCGTTCTGTCTCAGAGTATATGGCTCAACACCATTTACTCACATCCCAGGATGCTGCTTGCTGCAAGGGGTCAGAGGGCCGTGTCTCCATGGCCTCTGCTTTAGATACGGTTCGAATGTGCCCAGGGATTCACCTGCTAGAAGCTTGCTTGGTCCCCAGTGTGTCCATGCTGACGAGAGTCTTGACACCTACTGCAAGGTAATTAGGTCACAGGAAGTGCTGCCCCCAGAAGGGATTGCATTGTTTGCACAGTTCCCTCCCCACCCCGACTTCCTGTCTGGCATGTACTCTCTCCCGCTCACACACGCTCCTGCTGTGATGCCATCCACTGCGATGTGACTTGGCCTTGTGGGCCCTCACCAGAGCTGGCGTCATGCTGTTTGGACTTAGAGTCCCCCAAACCATAAGCCAAATAAATCTCTTTTCTTTAGGAAGTGGCTGGCCCCAGGGATTTTGATCCAGCAGTGGGATGCACAGCCTTCCACACAAAGCCATCCTGGGCAGGTTGACCAGCTGTCATAGGGTGTGACAGAAGAATTCCACATACCCAGTCCTTTGACAAACTTCATAAGGCACATGATGTAACTGGTGGCTGCATTAGCAAAGACCTGGATGTTGTCAGTGTTGAGAAATGCTTCAAAGACATCAAATACTGGAGCTTGACCTTTGCCTGAGGGAGGAAGAATATTAAGAAAGGTTGGTTTACTCCCTGGGTTGCCCATACCCTCAGCGTCTTCCAAGGGGTTTTAGGAAAGATCTAATGGAGAAATTCTTTGGCCTTTTGACTGGACGTCAGGCTCCAATGCTATCCTCAATTTTGCCTGCAGGGGGAGCTGCAGGAAGGCTACAAAGCAAGGTCTTGGGTGCAAGAGGGCAAAACTGCTGGAATCCAGGGCTGAAGCAATGGGTGAAGTCCCAGGGACAGAAACATCTACAGGCAAAGGAAAGGACCATCTGGATATCCCTTTGATGGCATTTACAAATTTTTCCCTACCTGTGCAGAAACAGCTCATGTGGGTAGTTGGAGACTGAAAGGTTGGCCCTAAACTGGCAGCCAGCAGCTGGCTTGCAGACTATTCCCCAGTAACAGTTAACTGATAAGGGTGGGTCCTTATGCCTAGCCTGTTTGTGCAAACAATCTGGTTTAACACCTGCTTTCCTCTGTGTGGAATGTTGGCATATGCCAGGCAGAGGGTGCCTATTTGACCAGTCCCCAGCTGGGTCTCTAACAGATTTTCCTGGGCTGAAAGATCCCATATGTGAAGTGGTTTTGCCACTGGGCAAAGACTGTCTTCACGGAAGGACCAGAGTGGGTGGAAGTCCACATGTAGACTGCCCAGTGCTGTGCCTTTTTCTCTTATAGTCTACTTTGCTATGCTAACTCTGAGCCAAGTGGTAAATCAGTTGAATAACCACATGCTGAGTCTCTTGACTCCTTCTGGTGGGTTTCTGAATGCAGGGTACCCTTGAAGACCCCTGGTACAACCGCCCTGAATGTCCATTCTTTTCCAGCCAGAACCTACCTTCTTAATTCCAATTCCCTTGTTCTAAGATACTTTCCTGCTTCTTACTACTGAGTGGCTAACATATTTCTTTGGGGCTTTCGGAATGAACTCAACATAGCAGTGTACAGTGGAATGACAGAAGTCTCTTAGCCTTTTTCTCCAACCAACAAGCATGAGCATGGCCTGACAGTGCTCCGTCAGGGTACTAGGATCCCTGGCAGGACTCAGAACCCTGTGACCCCACGACGTTTCCTACATAGGAAACACGCTGGATGTCAGCTGCCTTTGATAACATGAAACACGGCACAAAGAACCAAAGCTCTGTAGCAAGAATCACCCGTCCATTCTTACCCATGGAGTAGTCGCCAACCAGGTACTCCTTCACCTCGGACTTGTTCCCGCTGTGCACCGTCTCCAGAGCGCTGAACAAGGGCCTCCAGCCTGACTGGATGTGCGTGGAGCAGACCTCCACCAGCTCACCAATGGATGTGACCACCTGGCAGAGGCAAAGGGCACAGCGGCACTTCAGTGAACAGTTTCCGGGGTGGGTGGTGTACTTCTCTGCCTCCTACATCTAGATGGGTTTTAGCAAAAAAGAAAAACTGGAACCCGGACAGACTCACTTACAAATCTTCTAAATAAGCAACCATTCAGCATGAACTTGCATTTCACCAATGACTACTATTATGGAGCAAATATTCACACACTCGTTAAAGCCATTTTTTGAGTATTTCACTGTTTTTGAAAAACTAGGCTTATGCCTTCATTATTGTCTTTTTAAAAATTAAATTTATTTATTGGATGGAGGGAGAAATAGAACAAGTGTACTCCTATCCCCTAAATGCCCATCAACCTCTAAATGCCCATAATGGCCCCAGACCAGGGCAGAAACTAGGAGGCAGGTCTCCCAGCCGTGTGGGTGGTAGGGCTACAACCACCTGAGCTATCACTGCTGCCTTCAAAGGTGTGCATTAGCAGGAAGCTGGACTCAGAAGCAGAAGCAGGCACTCTGCTATGGGATGTGGGTATCCCCCATCTACTATGCCCAAAGGTGTGCCCCTCATCATTGTCTTTTTATGATTGAGTAGTTAGTGTTCTTTATGTACTCTAGATTCAAATCCTTCTTTTTTAATTTTTTTTATTTTTTGACAGGCAGAGTGGACAGTGAGAGAGTGAGTGAGAGAGAGAGAGAAAGGTCTTACTTTGCCGTTGGTTCACCCTCCAATGGCCGCCACGGCTGGCGCGCTGCGGCTGGCACACCGCGCTGATCCGATGGCAGGAGCCAGGTACTTATCCTGGTCTCCCATGGGGTGCAGGGCCCAAGCACTTGAGCCATCCTCCACTGCACTCCCTGGCCACAGCAGAGAGCTGGCCTGGAAGAGGGGCAACCGGGACAGAATCCGGCGCCCCGACCGGGACTAGAACCCAGTGTGCCGGCGCCGCAAGGCAGAGGATTAGCCTAGTGAGCCGTGGCGCAGGCCCAAATCCTTCTTGACATTAAATGGTTTAAAATTTTTTCCATACTTTATTTATTTGAAAGGCAGAGTTACAGAGGGAAAGGAAGAAGGGAAAGAGAGAGATTGGGAGGTTAGGTGAGGGAAAGAGAGAGAGAGAGAGAGAGGGAGAGAGAGAGAGAGAGAATGAATGAATGAATGAATATGAATGAAAATGAATCCATTCAGTGGTTTACTCCCCAAATGGCCACAACAGCCAGGGTTGTTTCCAGTCGAAGCCAAGAGCCTGGAATTCCATATAGTCTTCACACAGGTGCAGGGGCCCAAGTACTTGGGCCATATTCTGTTGCTTTTCCAGATGCATTAGCAGAGAGCTAGATCCGAAGAGGAACATCCAGGGCTTGAACCAGCACCCATATGGGATGCCATTGTTATAAGCAATTTTATCTTGCTGTTCCACAATGCCAGTCCCAGTTTTCTTTTTAACAGTGCATTTTAAGGAGAAAAGTTTTAAATTTTGATGAAGTCTAATTCATCAGTTTTTGTTTTTATAGCTCACATTGTTGGTGATGTTTTTAAGAAATATTTGTATAAGTCAAAGTCTCAACAGTTGTCTTCTTTGCCTTATTCTAGAAATGCTTATAGCTTTTGCTCTTATGTTTAAGGCATGACCTATTCTGAGTCATTTTTTGTGTATGGTGACAGGTATTGGTTTAAGTTCATTTTAATCACATATATTCAAGCATCATTTGCTGAAAATATCTTCTCCTTCCATTAAATCACAATAGCAGCTATGACAAAAATCAACTGACCATTGACCATATAGGAGAGTATTTCTTTAGCACCTTCCTTTTTTTTTTTTTTTTAAAGATTTATGTTTATTTGAAAGGCAGAGTTACAGAGAGGCAGAAGCAAAGAGAGAGGGGGAAATGTCTTCCATCAGCTGGTTCACTCCCAAATAGTGGCAAAGCCCGAAGTCAGGTCGATCCAAAGCCAGGAGCCAGGAGTTTCCTCCAGATCACCCAGAAGGATGCAGGGGCCCAAGTGCTTGGGCCATCTTCCACTGCTTTCCCAGGCCATAGCAGAGAACTGGATCAGAAGAGGAGCAGCTGGGACATGAATTGGTGCCCATATGGGATACTAGCGCCAAAGGTGGAGGTTTAGCCTACTATGCCACAGCGTTGGCCCCCCAATTTTGTTTCTTATATTTTGAATTTAATTCAACTATGGCAGGAAAAGATACTATGATTTCAATTCTATTAAATTTATTGAGACTTTTGTGGTTTAGTCTATCATGTGTCATGGAGAGTGTTCCATACATATTTGAAGAGTGTCTTTTTGTTGAACAGTGTTCCAGATGTTTGTTAGGTCAGGCTGGTTGACAGTGTTATTCATCTTCTATATCCTTGATGTCTAGTTGTCCTTCCAACTACTGAGAGAGGAGTGTGGTAATGTCCCACTGTAACTCATTTTTGATGGTAACACATATCCAACATAAATTTACCATTTAACGATTGTGCACAGTTCAGTGGCATTAAGTACATTCATTTTGTTGTGCAACCATCACCACTGCCTATCTTCAGAATATTTTTATCTCCCTAAATTGCAACTCTGTAGACACTAAACAGTAGTGGTATTCCCTGGCACTGTGATTATTACCGTCTATATCCTTTCTTTTTTTAAAAGATTTTATGTGAAAGACAGTTACTGAGAGGGAGCCACACACACACACACACACACAGAAGGATCTTTCATCCACTAGTTTACTACTCAAATGGCCACAACATCAAGGGCTGGGCAGGCCAAAGCCAGGAGCTTCTTTTGGGTCTCCTGCATGAATGCAGGGGCTCAAACACTTGGGTAATCTGCTGCTTTCCCAGGGAACTGGACTGGAAGTGGAGCAGCTGGGACTCGAACCAGCACCCATGTGGGATGCTGGCATTGGCTGTACCTGTTACGCTACACACCCAGTTATCTCCTTTCAATTCTGTTTTTGCTTTGTGTATTTTTTAAGAAATGTGTTGTTCAGTACACATTAAGAAATGTGTTGTTAATTGATTTGTCTTCCTATGATGTTGATCCTTTCATAATTGTATGTTTGTAGTAATATTTTAAAATTAACATCTCTTTTTGCCTGGCCTTAATAGTCACCTAAAGTCGCTTGTGGTTACTATGCATGGCTTACTATTTTCAATCCTTTTATTTTCAATCAATTTGCACCCTTTTATCTGAAATATGTCTCTTATAGATGATATATTTTTAGTATCTTGTTGTTTTACCCAGCCTTACAATTTCTGCCTTTTGATTGAAATTTAGTCAATTCATATTTAAAGTATCTTTATCAGGGCCAGTGCTGTGGCATAGTGGGTAAAGCTGCCGCCTGCAGTGCCGGCTTCTATCCCAGCAGTTCCACTTCCAATCCAGCTCTCTGGTGTGGCCTGGGAAAGCAGAAGAAGATGGCCCTGGCCCAAGTCCTTGGGCCCCTGCACCAGTGTGGGAGACCCGGAGGAGGTTCCTGGCTCCTGGCTTCGGATTGGCGCAGCTCCGGCCATTGTGGCCAACTGAGGAGTGAACCAACAGATGGAAGACCTCTTTCTCTCTCTCTTCCTCTCATTCTGTGTAACTCTTTCAAATAAATCTTAAAAAATAACTTTCTCATGTATAAAATTTACCCATTTAAAGTATATAATTCAAAGTTTCTTTTTAAATCATATTCAGAGTTGTGCAACCATTGCCACCATCCAATTTTAGAATTTCATTAATCTCAAAGAACCCTATGCTTTATAGCAATCATTTCTCCCTCTACCTCTCTCCCATCAGTCATAGGCACCCACTAATCTTATTTTTGTCTACAGATTTTTCTATTCTGGGAATTTCATATAGATTTTTCTGCTTTTTGTGAAATGGTACGTTTTCAGGGTTCATTCATGTGTAACTTGTAATTGCCGAATAACATTCCATTGTACAGATATTCTGAATGTCATGTATCCACATAGCTGATGGCATTTGGGGGTGTTTCCAACCTTTTGCCCTCCATAAATAACGTTGCTATGAACATTTGGGCAGAAGATTTCTGTGGATATTTGTTTTCATTTCTCTTGTGTCCATACCTTTTGGGGGACTGCCAGACTGTTTCCCCAGGTAGCCACATACTTGACCTTCCTGCCTGCAGGGTGAGGGTTATGATGTCTCTACTTCTTCCCCAACACGTGCTAGTGCCTTTCTCTTCCATTGCGGTGATCCTAGTGAGTGTGAGGTGATACCTCATTGTGGACTTGATTTTCATTACAATCACTTTAAGTAATAATAACGAATGATGTTGAGCATCTCAATCAAAGCACATTAACCCTATTGTTGACGTGGTTCTATTTACACCTGCCATTTTGCTATTCCTTTGCCAGATACACAGGATAGGATTCTGTTACCTTGTTTCTCCTTTCTTATCTTCTTTTAGCATATCACTTTAAACTTTATTATGTTACTCTCTTGGGGTTGCTCTTGCTAGGAATTATAATACCCATCTTAAGTTTACACATTATACTCAAGTTAACACTGACTTAACTTCAGCAAAATATAGGAAACTTGCTCCACTTCCTCTCCCTCATTCCTACTTGTGATATATCCATCCATTTAATAAATACAACAATACGGTATGAGTTATTGCTTTGAACATGTTTTAAAAATAAATAGAAAAATGCAGTCTTTTGCCTTAACTGACACATGTCCCATTTCCTCCTGTGGAACAGACTAACCATCCTGTGTGATGTCTGCTCAGCTGGAATGAACTCCTTTAGTTCTTCATGTGTAGGAAAGTCTGCTGGCAAGAAATTCTCTCACAATTTATCTGAGAATGCTTTTAGTTGGTCTTCACTTTTGAAAGGTAGTTTCTCTAGAATTATTGACAGTTTTTGTAGCACTTTAAATGTCATGACATCACTGTCAACCTTCATTCTCTGTAGAACTGAGACACTAATCCCAGTGCTGTTCTTCAGTAGTAATTAACTGTCCTCTTACTGCTTTCAAAGTTTTCTCATTGTGGACA